CCATTATTCTGACACCATCCCTCACATCGCTACACAATGATACCAAGTAACTACATTAACAAAAAGCTAATCCCATCAAAAAGGAATTACTATTTTTTTGCTGGCTTAGCTTCTTCAACATGCTCATCTGAAGGATGAGAAGTGCCTCAGTGAGTTTAACCCTATCAGCAAACTGCACCCTAACAAACTGTTTTGGGGTCTTCGGAGAAGATAAATGACGAGGGAAGCAGAGCGACAAGTGACTTTAAAAGGCCTTTTTCTAGAGAGTTTGAGAATTGTAAAGTGTTTTGTACCACAGGCAGCACAAGAGCCAACATGAACACCCCTGTGTAAGTTTTTCACTGCCGTGGTTTCTGGGAGCTCTCAGTTCCCTGGTGCTCCCTTTCTTGAAAGCAAGACTGGCTGCCAGCCAAGGGGCAATTCTTTTGACAGCAGGCATTTCAAAACAGGAATTAAACACAGAGTTAACACTACAAATGAAGTGATGTGCTTCAGTAATCTTAAACACAAATTTCAGGTAAAAGCATATATTTCTACAATCAATAATTCAATGAATCATAGAACCATTTAGGTTGCAAAAGACCCTTAAGATCACCGAGCCCAACTGTTAAGCTCACACTATCAATGACAGTTAAAAAAAAAAAAAAAAAAAAAAAAAAGAGAGGAAAGCAAAGTCTTACTTTCTGGGAACTTCACTGTCAGAGCTGATTCCATATATACTCCACCTCTAGGGAACCTTTTTGCTTTCCTCAAAACTCAAAATTACTGTTACCAAGACTTAAAAAAAAAAAAAAAAAAAAAAAAAAAAAAAAGCTGGCAATAACTTTGCAATTCTTTCTCCAATTTACTCATAGGGAAAACTCAGCACACTTTTCATTCTCTTACCAAAAAAAAAAGCTCTTCTAATTTCTACTCTTTCAAATTAAAAAAAAAAAAGAAAATTAAAAAAAGCCTGACTACACCACTAATGATACTGGTGAAACAATGGACTTTGTAGTAAGGTAACACACGTTGTGTCAAAAGCTTCTACCCTGATCTCTGCTCTAGGAACACAGCCTGCACAGAGGTATTATGCTATACCAAGCTAAAACTGAAGAAAACCAGCACATTAAAACGCAGGGAGAAAAACTTCTGAATGCTTGACAAGCATGTATTTCCCATTTCTAGCAGTTGGTAAATGCCTACATGTTCATTTTCAATGACTGAAATGCCAGTTCAGAAGTGCCTCACAGTCTTCTGTGGGAGTCCTTGATAAGGAGAAGATAAATACCACGTCTCCGACTTTTAACTACAGAAGGAGCACTCATGAAGCACTCGGTTGCTCTCCAGCTAAAGTAAGTTGAAAATCACTGCCCACTTTAGAAACAGCTTTCATTTGGTAAACGGCAGCAACACAGCATCTGGGAAAGCTGAGGAAAGGGAAACAACAAATAGTCATGACCTTCTTCAAGAGCAGGAGCAGACTGGGAAATCGGGAAGGCCACAGTGCTTGTCAACCTGGAAACAAACACACCAGCTCTGATTTTGGTATTACTCTGCAAGAGATGTAAGGAAAAAAAAAAAAAAAAAGTAATGCCCCACTGCACCTTTTGCACATATACACACAAAGTATGGTTTTAATTACATTTTTAAAAAAATTTACCCCCACACGCCATCAGAAGCAGCTGCTAGGCTCTGCCATGCTGTATAATAACACAGAGAAGGAAGAGCACATCTTTCCCCCAATTCAGCTTACCATAGATTAACTTGCCATAGATTCATAAGCATATGCACCTCAAACAATAGCTCCTCGTCCTCATTCTTACTTGTTTCCATCAGCTCCTCATCTTTCCAAGTCTCATCAGTTATGACTACTTACATGAATCTCATTTTAAAAAAGCTATACGTTGAAATTTTCTGAGGGATTTACTAATACATACATGGCTCTTTTTTTAAGAAAACACAATTTCAGAACTTCAATAATAAAACTGAATCTTTTCCTTTTAAAAATAAATCGCTTTCATCGAGCTTCTTTTTTATGTAAGTTTTGCCAGCGTAGGATAACACAAGCATGTTACCATATGGCACGCCTACCAGAACTATCTTTAATTTTTTTCCTTGGAGATGTAAGCTAAAGTACCTGCAACTATGCTGTAATTTCCTTTTAGAGAGAACTTACCAAGCTAAATTTTTTTGGAACCGAAGATATTTTCTAGTCCAATTCCCATCTTTAAATTTCTTTTAAAGATTCAGGATAACCCAAGCAACCATTGGAGAGGTTTATAAAGTCTTTTCAGAAAGGAAGAAACAGATCACAACGAGAAAATAGTGGCACTGAAAATAACAATTGCTGTCAAAACTGAGTTGTATTAATTCAGTGACTCGTCTCACAAGACAGTCTTTTTATAATGTTACCCATAACGAGAGAAGACAATAGTTTCCCTTGATTTTTCCCCCCCCACCATGTAGCTTTATATGTCACTGGCCCTAGCAACAGCAAAGAATAGCAATGGATTTGTCAGCGGGCAGGGACCGTGCAGCAGGCCCACGAGGAGGGCCCCAAGCACCCTGTGTTATCCAAGCACAATCGCCCTGTTATTTGACAACAAGCAAGTCTGCAAGCAGAACACGGCTTTCAATATCCTCCTTGAGTGTCAAACTGACAAACGGCAGCCAAGTTACTGACGATAAACCTGCGTGACCGGTTCACTGCAATTTAGAAAACGTTTCTAAGCGCGCAAGGACAATCTTCATCTGCCCCATCTTTATTATGAGTTCAAAATTGTGAGTCAGTTCACAAAAAGACAACAGCATCAATGACGCAGGGAAAACAGCATGGACAAACAAGTAACCCTGCTATCTCCACGCCAAGAAAACTACAGGTGAAAAAGGGGGTGAAAAAGTACTGTGAAAATATGGGGGGGTTGCAGCTCCAAAGGACGATACAAGTTTGCACCACTGAATCTGTAAAAGCGTATAAAGATGACCAATCACTATTTTTGAATAATTCTATCAAGTTAACATGATATTCAAGCTTGACAAAAGATGATGCTAGCTTTCTGCATACTTAAAAAAGCACCACAAAAACTTAACTACTTGGCAGTAAAATAGAAAGTTTCCCTGGGGTCTCCCTGAGGCCCATCAGGCATATTTTTAATTTTTTTTTTTTTTTAAAAATCCATTTCTAGACTGCAGATGAGCAAATTAGGTGCTGTCTACTACACTTTGCCAACAACAGCTGAGACACCTTTGCCAACATTTCTAACTTTGCCATGCAAGAATTTCGGTTTCCATTTCTGTATTTCATCCAGAAACATTCACTTGAAACAATGGAGGTGGGGGTAAAAGTTTGCCTCCCTAGGTTTCAGAAAGGTCTGGAAAAGGAAACAAGCATCTCATTATTGCCTGTCAGAGAGGGTGGAGGATTTCACGCTTTCCCGTTATCAGTTAGCCAAATGCCATGGACAGGGAGACTCTCTAATTTGCAAACCAGACTCCCAGGACACCACCGTCCTGGAAACCCTGTCCCTTCTTCTCCATTGCAGCAGCTGAGAATTACGAAGGAGGGGGACAGCTGGGCTTCTCATTAAGAGCACCGCGCCTGAATCCACGGCACTGTGGATAGTCAGTTGTACCTACCTCCCATCGGCAGCTTCCGCCCTGCAGCTGATAGGTGTCTTTCAAAAATCTCTCTTGGGGCAAGGCAGAACAAGCACAACGACAGGCAAGCTGGTTTGCCACGGCAGAGTTGAAAGACAAATGCAACGGAGGAATTGAGAAGGAAGCCAGAGCCCATGTTATTTGTCTCCATGAGAACATAACTTACTACAACACTCCAGTTCCCAAGATAAAGTATCCTCTCCGAAAGCAAACTACATATACATCTGTTGGTTATCAATATAAGCCTTTAACAACTGTCAGATATTATGGCAGTGGTCCCACTAAGTGCTCACACGTAACTCTGAACGTGCACAAACTGTCAGCCGGGCAAAGGCCTTAATGGAGCCTGGCTCTGCAAGGGCGCCCTTTTCAGCTGCTTGGATTTCCCTTCCTTCCCTAGAGCACATATTCACTTTAATTAATAGGTCACTGAACCGGTTTATGTTAATTGTTAGAAGCACCCCGTCTTTGTTCCCAAAGGGAGGGACCAAAGTTCATTCAGTTGTTGCCTACGAAGCAAAACTGCAAATCGCAAGGTTTTGCACACACCTAAATTGCCACCAATTCCTAAGGGAGCTTTTTTATGCCGAAGTAAACAATTGCCTTCTCATTACCAACCCGCACCCTGCCAGAGATTCCTCGCTCGCCGTGCTCGTAGCAGATCACCCCCGGTCATCTGTGCAACCATTACCTGAACCGGGAATTAACTTCTAAACGCTGCTGCTCACCAGAGCTGCGTCAACGCGGGGCTGTTTTAACTTCTCTACCGCAGATAACGCTACGGGCAGAAACTTCTGCTCGTTCCGTCCTTGCTATGAGCAAAAAAACATTATGGAAAAAAAAAAAAAGGGGGGGGGGGGGGGAGACGAGACTCCAGCAGATGGGTGTTTTCTCCCCTAAAGGCTGCTCTCCCCTTTCCAGAGACACCCCTTCTCACAGCACCCACCCGGAAGGTCTCCCCCGAAAGCCCCCTTCCCCCCCCCCCCCCCCAATTTAAAGCCTCGCGTGGATTTAATCGCTCCGCGTGGCTGCTTTTTTAAATTCGCGTGGAGAAGGCAAGTCGAAACCCCACTCCCACGGCGAACCGCCGCCCTCCAAACGCCCTCGCGGCGCGGAGCACCGGGGCCACAAAGGAAGAGAGAGCGGGCAGGGAGCCGCTCCGCCGCCGGAGCGGGACGGCGGGGCGAGGCGAGGACGCCATGCCGGCGAGGAGCGGCCCCCTCAGGGCGGCGGGCTGCCCTGCCCGGCGGGACGGGGCGGAGAAGGAAAAGGGGGAAGGGAGCCTTCTCCCTCCTCAGGGAGGAGAGGGGGCCGGAGCCTGCTCCCCGCTACACCGCCCTGGCCCTTCCGCGGCTACTCACAACAAGAAGCTCATGGCGATGGCGGCGGAGCGGGACCGGAGCTCTGCGCGGCTCGGCTGGGCTCGGCGCTGCTCGGCTCCCAATGGCAGCGGCGGCGCAGGGGCGGGCGCGTGCGGGGGAGAGCGCCGCGGGGCGGGGACACGGCCCGCCCGCCATCACCCCGCCGCCCCTCCCCTCCCCTCCCCTCCCCGCCGCCGTTAGCCCCGCGTGCCCCCCGTAGCGCCTCGCTGCGCCCTCAGACGACACCCTCGTCGTCCCTCGAAACGGAGATATCCCCCCCCCCCCACCTTCTCCCTCCAAATCCCCCCCTTCTCCCCGTCAGGCACCCGTCCCTGGACACCCCCCTCCGCAGCGGCCTCCGCCCCGGGGCTCCCGGGCAGCGTCTCCCTCAGCCCTGGGCGACCCGCCGGGAGCGGGGCCCGGCCTCCCGCCACCATCAAACCCCAGCACCGCTCCAGGCTGCCACCGAGCAGTCCTTCTTAGGCACAGGCAAAGCGCAGATGCCTTTAGGTAGCCCTGGCAGCGAAATCCCCGTGGCTACCTACCAAATGCCACAGCGGAACGAGGAGAAGTGCCTGAGCAACAGTGCGGCCCACCGGTACCCACCCGCCTACCCCAAACCCTGCGGGGTACAGGAACAACGCAGGCCACGTCGCCTCAGCGTGTCACACCAGCGACCCCAAATGCATTACAATTTCGTTATTTATGCCGTCCAGGCTCAGGCAGGCTGTCCTCATTCTGCAGGTGCATGACAAAGGGGTTTGGCTACCAAACCCACAGATCACCACCACGGTCATAAAAAGAACAGGGAGATCTTAAGCGGCATTTCTGCCCTCCTCACTCGACAGTCTGCCCTTTTTTAAAAGAAATGTGTCAAAATGGCTTCTAATAGCTCAACACAAATGTTTGATTCGTGAGCAATTTTTAACTCAGCCGGTGAGGGTGAGCAGTCAGCTAAGAAAAGACAGACTTAAGAAATGAAGATACGATGGGCAGCTGCAAGCTACTGAGCTAAAAAAATATCCAGTTTTTGTTACAAACCCTTGACAGATCCTTCACCTGACCTCTGCCCTGTGCCACCTCACCTTATGTGAGCTCCATTGAAAACTGCATGTACTCCCATTTGTGGAAAAACAATGTACAGCACAGTCAGGGTATCATTTCAATACAAGCTTTCAAGTAAAATTGCATCTTTGCCCCCAACAACTGTCACGCTGTGTGCTCTTCCCAGGCAAGAGGGCTGTTCCATGAAGCGCAATCCAAGGGCGGGCAGTGCATTGCAAAAGATGTCGGGCAGCTCATTCGGCACCAGATGAAAGCTGCAGGCTGTGTTTTTGGGGTCTGGGGATGCTGCTCTGGGAATCTCCCATTCCCAACCCCGGAACAGCACTCATAATTTTAGGGTTTGTCTGTTTACATGTTTCAGGGGAAACAAAGATAGACCACAGCATCCAAGAATGCTTCAAAAAATATTACATTCATATCATACAAGAACCACACATTCCAGTGTCAACCTCGCCACATCCAAGTACCACCTCTTTATGGCAGAAATTAGAATCCCAGGGTGTAATTTTATGTAAAAATCTGTCTCTGTTAATAAGAAGCCAGTGGGATTTCAGAGAGGGGACAGGACTGGCAGCACAACCCCCTGAGATTCTCTCCTGCCCCATGGGGATTCTCCGAGCCCTGGCAACCCCACAAAGCTCACACTGCTGCAGGTAGACCAGAAGAAAACCCGATGACTTCCATATTCATTGCCGGGCAAATTCAGTACATCAAAACACACTACGATCCCACAAAGCATTAAGTTTCTGTACAGCACACAAGGGGTTTCAGCTATAATGCCTGACGTGGCAACGTTGACAGTTGTCTGCTTCTCTCATGTTTTTAAATGCTGAAACTGCATTTTCTGCTTTTCTGGCTCTGTCCTTCAGACCGAGTCAGAACGCCAGGTCAGTGCATTTCTAAGTAAATTAAAATTACACTACTGTTTCCAGGACACTTTTAAAATCAAGTGTGTCACTGAGCAGCGAAGGTGTAATTAAAAAGCATTTCATGACATGTGCCATTTTCCTTTTGGCTGTATTAGTAAAAGCAGGCATGAAATGGGTCTCAGGGCACTTTTTAACAGATGCTGTCAGATTCAGTTGGCCACATAAATCAAACTCCAAAAAAATACTGCTGATCTTTTTGGCACATTCATGTTGAGACATGAATAACCTCCGCTCTCAGTTCCCACCCATACGCTTCCTTCTACCCACAGAAGGCTTTATTTTAGCGGCAAGTTAAAATTAAATGTCTGTTACTGCAGCAGCCAGTAGGAAATACTTGGTCTGGGCGGCTGTCAGGAGAGATGGTTACGTCATGTGTACATTTTATGTCTCCAATTAATATTGGTCTATTCGGGATGGCTAGGGGTCACATGAAGTGCTCACTTCAGAGACTGCTGATCCAAGGGACTGGCGGCATGCTTACCTAAGTCAAACTGCTCCGTTGCTCCAGGAAAGGCAAAGCAAATGCACCCGTGGCCTCACGCCTGTCATTTTAGTTTATCCATTATACTGTAGAGCTTAAAGAATTACTCTGAAAGGGCCCTCGAGCTGACAAAGTGCTTTGGTCCTGAACTGCAGTTTCCAGCTTTAGCAGCTTGGTAAACGTGAAACATTCCAGCTGAAAAAAAGTTCAGAAATTAAGATCACAAAACTGAGTATATACGTTATTTGGAATACAAAAAAAGGAAGCAAAATTTTGTTTTGAAATGTAAATAATACAGTATGTAAATACTAAGCTCTGTAAACATTCTCCCCACGTTCTACATCAAATTAAGAGCATCCATCAATTTTTTTAATTGGATACTTGTTTGTGCATTAAGACAAAGGATTTGATTTACGAACCAGTGAAACACTGAAGTATAAATATCAGATTGGGCCTCTGGTGTAATTGTTCTCTACAAAAAATGCAACACATTAAGAAATCACAGGAACTATGAAGTTATTATACAGTGGTCCTGCGAGTCACTGTAATTATGGAGCTGGGATGGTAAAACTCAGCAGCCTTGTTATTGCTGGACTGTAGAAAGATCAATAAATTTGGCCGTGTTGCCTTCAGCGCTGTCAGGGTGCTCAGGTAAGTGTCATTCCTGCTACAATGTTCATATACTTCAGCAGTAATGCCTCAGAAATAAATTATCTGTGTAGGACCCGCTCCACAGGTCTCAGCGGTGCTTACGGTGCAGACACTGTTTGCAGGGGGGGAGGTCATGCTACTTAAATTTGTCCACGCAGATTCTTCTCTCCTTTCCGTTTTCCAGAGTTGGGCTCACTCAGGCTAAGCACGCTCTCTCCTGCTGAATGCTGAGATAGTTGCAGATGAGGGATTGTGTAACAGGATCCTCTTTCATAGAAAATGGTGGAAGCCCCACTGCTCAATTAACTTAAAGCCAAATGAATAATTTTGGAAAATACCACAACAGAATATCAGACCAATTTTTCTTGACGACAGATTACACAGTGTGTTAGGCAATGTTTCCCAATATAAGACAACCATTTGTTTTAGTATCAACTCAGAGTATTTTTCTTTTTCCTCTGATCAAACTAAAGGATAGCTGGTAGAAACTGTAAATAACCTGTTTAACATTAGGTATTGAAAAAGACATCTTCCAAGGTAGATAAATCAAACTTCTTGGTCAACAGCAGTATGGAGGGGCATCTCCTGAGTTTATTTATTTTTACTTAAGGTAACAGATTTCCTATCATCAGTAGACTGCAATCAAAACCAGTTCTGTCGAGTGAACAAATGCAAATTCTATTGTCCTAGGATGATTCTTGTTGTTGTTTTGGTGTTTGTTTTTTGTTTTGTTTTGTTGTTTTTTTTTTTCTGACCATAAGTGTAGCGGCTTTGATCCCTCAGGTTTGCTAAGGAAGCTCTGAGATGCCTGGAAAACTTCAGTGTCAACAAAATGGTGCCCTCTAAAGGTAATTCACACACAGTGACAAACTACAAGACAAACAGCAGTGCGATATTTTTTACTGTACTTGGGAATCAAATATATTGAAGGAAAACTGGGTAGAAGACGTGCATGTGTTAAAGAGAGTCTTCCTTGCACCCGGCGTGGTTCACAAAAGAGGAATGCACATAACATTCCCTTGGTCCGTATGAGTCTGGCACCTGCTTATTCAATTAAATTTAAGGCATGAAAGCCAATCTAGATAAAGATAAGTGTTCAGGACAAATTCCTGTAGTTATTTGAATTTTTTGATCCTACAAAATTTGCTTGCTTATTTAAAGAAGGTTTTGAAGAGAAACCTGACATGTAGACTATGACAAACTGGAATGTGAACCACTTGGGCACTGAGGTCAACATTCCTTTGAAAAAGTGTATAGTGTGTGGCTTACCTTGAAAATTCAAGAGTTGAGAGTGTTGTCAAGAGACTGTGCTGTTATCAAGGTAACAGTCAATCATATGAAAGTCTGTTACCAGAAATAGTTTATAAAAGCAAAAGCCAACAACAACACAATGACATAAAATAGGTCGTTAACATTTTCAAAACAGTGGTAAGAAAGGCTTCTGAGAAATTAATGGGATGGCAATAGTGCAAAGTGAAAGACTTTGGTTGAAAAACCCAAGACTGTAATTTGAGTGGTATTTTGCAATGGCTTGAGACTGTCACTCTTACTTGGCGATCCCAAGACTAGAACTACACGATGCCGGACAGAAGAGGAAAATCTTCCCTGTCGTGGCTGCCAGCATCTCCCTGATGCAGGGGTCCATACACCAGGACGCCTGGCACATCCTCCTTCCAAAGAACCACTCCAATACCTGCCTAGATACCCTGGATCTGAGCCTACAGTCTCTATTGGCTTCCTCTCGTGTTGGGTGGTGGTCCTTTTGTCTTTTCTCCTGCTGCTGGTTTTGCTTCATCGTAAAAATTTTTCATCCTAGTTCAGCATGACCTGCCTTCCCCGCCGGTGAACTTAAGAGGCCGGTGCCAGCTCTTCCCCCCTTATCCCTCTTAGATGCAGCAATAATGGCAGGACTGGTTTTCCACATCATCTGAAAGGCGTATATTCCTCACGAACAGGTTCAGCCAGTACTGCCTCTCATATTTCGGATCGCCAGGGTAGGATGGGAGCGACAAGAAAATCAGCTCTCTTGCAAGAGTCTAGAGGAAAGAGGTGTAAAAGGGTTGTCGCGCTCAAGTCTGACTTAAAGCTTTACATTGCAAATATACCGTGGGTTTTTTTTTTCCCTTTCTGTTTTAATAACATAAAAAAACCTAAGTGATCATAAGCCAGCGATAACTTGCCGTGACTCCCTGACCGGTTCAACTGTGTCGGCTTACCAAGCGTCCCACGCACGCCGCCCTTCCCGCGGGGCCCGCTCGCCCTCCGCCCGGCCCCGCAGGGCCCCGGCCCGCCCCGCCGGGGACACCCTTTCGCCTCCTCCTTCCCCGCCCGCGGCCAGGAACCCCTCGCCCCTCAGCCCGGCGGGCAGCTGGGAGGGAAGAGCGGCGGACACGCCGCTCGGCTTCCCGCCGCCTCCCGGGACGGGGAGGCGGAGCTCCGCGAGCGCCCGCCCGCGCGCCCATGGCCGCCGCCGCCGCCGCCGCCGCCGCCGCCGCCCGCCGCGGCCTGGCAGCCCTGCTGCTGGGCCGCCGCCCGCCCTGGCTGCGCCCGCCGCCCGCCCGCTGCCGCCTCCTCCTCAGCGCCGCCGCCCTCGGGCCGGGGCCGGGCGCCGCCGCTCCGCTCTGCGCTGCCGGCCGCCGCTACAGCCAGGTAAGGGGCCTGCGGGGAGGGCGCCTAAAATGGCGGCGGCGCGGCTGTGGGGGCGGCGGGAGGCGGGGGGGCCGAGCCCCGGCGGCCTCGCTCCCTCATCCCGCGGCCGCCATGGGGCAGGCCCCGCTCCACCACCCCTGCGGGAAGCGTCCTCTTCTTCCCATCGGCGTTTACTAGTTTTGGTTTGGTGTTTTGTTTTTGTTTTTTTTTTTTGTTTTTTTGTTTTTTTGTTTTGTTTTGTTTTTTTTTTTTTTTTTTTTTTGTTTTTTTTGGTGGCAGGTTACGGATGCGCCCTCGCAGCAAGGTCATCTCCCGGAGCAGGAGCCGGCCTCGGCCAAGGCAGACAGCGACAATGTTTTCCTCATCAGGGCGGAAGGATTCCCCTTCTCCTGCACCGAGGAAGACGTGCTTATGTTTTTTGATAGTACGGGAGTTCATTTTTCTGCCTAACTGTTCAGCGCGGTGTTACGGAAACCAATAGTTGATGCCTAGTTAACAGAGAATGTAAGGGGAAGGTGATGTAAATCATCTGTAAGGGGAACAGGCCAGAGGAGAATGAGTTTTTAATATTGCTGCAAAATTATTCACGATTTACACATGTAAAACAACCAACTTCCAAAATGCCAGCCAATGACCAGAAGCTCATCCTCACAGCACTGTTTTATTTAATTAAGGAAGTCTTCCCCTTCTTAGTCGGTGTCTCCACACTAAAGGCAATCCCATTTGAAGCGGTTCCTTTAAAGACCGTTACGGTTGGCTTCTTCCCCAGCTGCCCTCCTTTAAACAAACTGGAGCAGTTTTTACGTATTGGTTTAAACTTCAGTGTTGCTTTCTTATCCTAATTAATGGGCTCACGTATACTTTTGCAGGGCTAATCCCTCCATACTATAATACTGTGATGGATCCTTGCAGCGTAGACTAGACAGAGTCAAGTTTTAAAACAGTTTCAATAGCCTGCCGAGCTAAATTAAGTCAGTTGGAAGTCCTAAGGGAAAGGAACATAGAGGAAGCAGAGTATAGCTGTAGAGACTGAAGAATTATAGCATTTGTTCTTGATCTCAGATAACTCAGAAACCATTAAGTTTACCAACAATATGATAATACGTATTATCTGGTTACACAGCCGTGGAAGCTAATAGATGTCGAATCAGTTTCTTATCTGTGATAAACATCGTGTGTTAGAGTTACAGTTAAAAACGGGAGTTTCCTATCCTTTGTTTCAAGACAGTATTTTGCACTGCTAAGGGGGGATAGCGCTATGCAGAATGTTCAGTTTCACCTGTCATCAGAAGACCCCCATGTTTGATGGAGTTGCATATGTTTCTATATTGTGTGTTCCTTGACTTCTAGGCTGTAGAATTCGAAACGGTGAGAATGGCATACACTTCCTCTTAAACAGGGATGGGAGACGCAGGGGGGATGCCTTGATTGAGCTGGAGTCCAGAGCAGATGTCCAGAGAGCCTTGGAAAAGCACCTGAGGTACATGGGCCCACGCTATGTGAAAGGTGGGTTTGCAGCAGCAAAAATTAGGTTGGAAGAAAACTCATGATGAAGTGAATAAGAAGCGCTTGAATAATAAAGCGGGCTGGTATGAGCAAGGGCAGCGTGGAGAGATGCAGGAGGTGGAACGGAGCAGCAAATCAGCCAGCAAGGCACCATTAGGCCAAAACTTCCTATGCTGGACAGGAAAAGCGCAGTGGCTTGTACCGTGAGGGGCCCCATGGCAGGACCACAGAGTATGGGTGGGGGAAGAAACACAAAGTTTTGTTGGGGGGGAAAAAGCTGCCTTAGAAGAATGCGTTCAGAGTGCCTCCTTCCAAGTACCGTGAGGGAAGCCACCTTCTGTGCCTTTAATTCCTTGCAGTGTTTGAAGTGCATGATAGCGACGTAGAGAGCTTACTACAGAGTCTGCGGGATGAGTCCAACGCCATAAGTGATGGAGTTGTACTACTCAGAGGCCTTCCGTTCACCTCCACCGAAGAGGATATTGCACATTTTTTCCCAGGTAATTCAGCCTAGTCTGTGCTTTTCGGTTACGAGGTGTTTACTTCTCCAAGTTGATGCTTAGATAGGCTGTTGTTCCTCTACGGGAGAAAAGCAAAAGCACATGCAGCCTTAAGTGGCATAAGGAAGAGCTGTCCCCCTGCAGCTAGAAGTAACTCAAGCTTGCTGAACAAGCCTTTGGCTGCAAACTTCTCTTGCGCCTTTGACTTTCTACAGGCCTAACTTAGGATCAGTACTTGCAATGTTCTTTTTTGGCACCAGGGGAAGGAAAGAAAATAACCTAGATCCTGTTACCTGCAATTGGATTGATACTAGTACATAATTTGGCAAGTTAAGAGAAGTGACAACGTTCCTACGATAGAGTACAAGTAAATGCAGCATGGGTATTCACGGCTGTATAATACTAACAGATCACCTGTGCCACTTAAAGCTGTTAACAGCAATTATTTTTCCCTTTTTTTTTTTTTATTACTGGCTTGTTCACGGTTGTGGAAGTTAACTGCACCAGTTCTCAGCTGAGCAGGTATTGCACAGTGTGTGTGCATGCACGCTCGCGTCCCACACTCAGTGCTCGAGCAATTCAGGTGGTTGCAGCCTGCCTTCATTAGCTAAGAAGCCTTTCTAGGTTTTGCGTAATAAATTGACATTTCCATAGGTTAAACCTTAAATTGTAGGCTAAACCAAATCCAGTTATTCCCCCCAAGTTCTTCCACTCCAGGCAGGCACACACAGAGTCCTGTAGCACTAGGGCTTATCGTAACCACCCTCATGCCAGAAGCAAAGGCCACTGGCAGTACATTTTTCAAAGGATAACCAGTAGCTCAGTATGTTTGAAGGCATCTAGTAGCAGAGTTACCACAATGAGATGACTGGGGCAGCATTGCAGAGCAAGTATTTCCAATTCAGGAAGCTTGAGGAGAAAGCCCCTTGAGAAAGAAAAAACAAAGAGGTACGCAAAAGCACTCCTGAAAAATATCAGTGTGGTAGCCTTGCCTAGTGCACGCTCTGTATCATGTCAGATATAGCTATTTACTGGATTACAGACTCTCCAAGACATAATACAGCCCAAAAATGGAAGTTCGGTGAATGTGACCTAGGTTTTAAAGAGATGGGAAAAAAACCCCATACCATAGTAATAGGAGAAAATTTCAAGAACATTTGTGCTCTTGACCTCCTTGTTGACTAGAACTTGGTTTCACTTGTTATTTTCATAGTTAGTTGAAGCCTCAGGTTGATTCATTACTGGCAATTAAGCCTTCTCTGAAAACTAACTTAAGGCAAGTAAATTGGAGTTAAAAAAAGAAGTTTAGAAGAGGTTCATAGGCCAGCATGAGCAGTTGTTTTGGAACTATTTAACTGCCCCCTTAGCTTGTCAAAAACCAGAATAGTAAGGAAAAAGATGTCTCTCAGCTATGGCACAAATTCCTGACAACATAAATGACTTTTTCTCCCCACCTCTCTATAGGTTTGAAAATAATCAACATAGTTTTTGTTTACCGGGGAGAAAGAAGAACAGGAGAAGCTTTCGTGCAGTTTGCAGCTTCTGATATGGCAGCTAAAGCGCTGCTACGACACAGGGAATACATGGGCAGTAGGTAGGTACTTCACTGGGGTTTGCGAGGGTTGAAGAACACGGTACAAAGCGTGCTGTGTGACTGACAGCTTGCTTCTTGCCAGGCAAAACAGCTAATCTTAGGCTATCCCATACTCACGTTATTACTAAGGAAGCTTTTCATGACCCTTTATTACCTGGAATTTTTAGAATTGCCTTTATTACCCTCAAAACCTAGAACTCAGACTTGAGATTCAAATTTCAGAAGAAATCATAACTAAACCTGTATTAGTAGGGTCAGACTGTTACTTTGTAGCTTAAAACATTTATTTTTTAATAGTACCCTCTGAAATACTCTGTAACCCAAGCGTAAGCTCCTGGGGTGATGTTTTCTTTAGAATCTTGACTAAGCTGGAGAAAAGAAGCCTTTTGCAGACTTCCGTGCCCTGCTAAGGCACCTTCAGCGCTTGCAGCTCAGGAGAATCTGGGGCCTCTCAGACAAGGTCTCGGTTCTCTTTAAATATTCTCGAAGGCAGTCTCATCCCAGCCAACCACAGTGATGGCATTCGGAGCAGGGTGTGCTGGAGGGACACCACCTGCCCGGTCACAACCGCACGGGGATCCTGCGCCTCCTACACACACGACCCACTGCCAAATTCCCACTGGGTTCCCTGGGGCTTTCTGCCATTGTGGCAGCCCTTACCCCTCCCTTCAGGCCACTACCAGGCACGCTCTGTCTCCGCTTGGAGAGTACGGAGCAGAGCTGAGCACTCTCCTCTGGCTTGAGTCCATTCCTGGAGGCGACTGCTGGCCAGCACCATACAGCCATCCATCTCTTGGGTGACCTGTTCACCGGGGCTGCCCTCCTTCCTCAGGAATCCCTGTTTTACCATTTCCTTTCAGAGCACTGAGCCATATGCCACACACCTATCTTACAGGAGCCTCTTTTCTCAAGCAGAAGTATATACCGCTTTTTCCTCAAAATAATAAAATCGTTTAGGTTCAAAGAAACCTTTAAGATCATGGAGTCCAACCATTAACTTAAGCACTGTCAAGTCTACCACCAAACCATGTCCCTAGGCACCACATTTACACATCTTAAATACATCCAGAGCTGCCGCTCAGGGACTAAAAAAAAAAAAAAAAAAAAACCACAAAAACAACCAAAATTGCTTTTACCCTGCTGAGTTTTTTATTTTTCTTTAATCACCTGCTAAATTCCCTTTCTGAAGGCCAGATAACTACATGCCTCTGCAAACCCCACCACTTCTACACAACATCTCCTTCCCAATTTCTTTACTTGTTCCCACTCTGCATTTCCTTATCTATGTCCCTACCCCTCTTAGAAGAAAACAGCTGCTCTGTAAGTGTGCCCAATAACTGAATTAACACACCTCCCTCTAGTAGAGGTGAATTAATTCCCGGTGTGCCATTAGTTTTTTCTTTGTCACAATCAAGCCAGATCTGATCTGACGACTCCACCTGAGCTCATACACCTCTGTTTCTGTGTGATGGGCTAAGGGAGTCCTTTCCAAAGCTGCTGTCAACTTGCTCTCCTGCATTCTTCCCAGGCTATTCTTTTTATGCAGAAATTGCCTTCAGCTGTGCACAGGGGGTTCAGGGGGCTGAGCTGGGAGCTCTGTCAGCCTGCACGTGTGGTTACTTCCCTTACCCTGGCCGCTCTCCTCAGGCAGGGAAGCAAGTCGCCTCACTTGGGTGCCCATATTCTCCTCCTCATCGTGTTACTCCTTCACTGCTGTGGGAGCTGCCTCATTGAACACTGCTGGGTAAAGTTGTGTGAGGCCCAGCTGGTGGTCCTCTGAGAGATTAGCCCAGGCAGCTCTGAGTTCAGGGGTTCTGGGGTGGGTAGCTAGAAACATAAGGCATTAGCATTTTATACTTTGAACCTGCGAATAAGGGGTTCTTTTATTTGTCTTTCTGTGGTGTAAGTGGGCTCTCGCTACAGTCCCTTACTGTGGCATTACATAGTGGTGTGTTACACCCGTGACTTCCACACACCTCCCATCCATTTCATAGTCATATGTAAAATCTTGCGGCTCCACTGGTGGATTTAATATGACCCTCTGCATCGTCTGTGTCTGCCTGTTGCAGTAATCTGTTTTGGGGTTGGATGTTTGTTTGTTTGTTTGTTTTTAATTTGGGGTTTGTAAAAATGGGAAGGGGCAATTTGCAGTGGTGGAGCAAGGGGGAAAGAGCCTCACCCATGTAGGGCTACTCAAAAGGATGCATACTACTCGAAGAAACACAAACCATTTTTCTGAGGAAGTAAACTTACATTTCTGTGACAGACCAGAATTTTGTTTTGTAAGCAATTGGTATTACTTCTAGAAGAACTTTGTGTAAGGCTGTAAACAAAAGACTTTGTCCAGGCCAGACAAGTAATGTCTCAGGTTTATACAGGAGAGTGGCTGTCACTGCAAATGCAAAGGGCTTTTTATAAACATAAGCGTGCAACTTAAATGAATTAATTCTTCAGAACGGTTGCTTGCCATGCCCTGGCTCTCACACCCAGTGCATAAGCAGCGCCGAGGCAAGAGAACGTCCTGAAGGTTCTTTCTCAACATGTTGAGTTCTTAGCGGAGGTGCAGGATGTGCCGTGTAATCTTCTCCTTTGAATCCTAGATACATAGAAGTGTACGTAAGCAGAAAGCATCACATGCAGCGGCATATGCCTTATGCCAAGCAGGTTGTGACCTACTCCAGAGCGAGAAGAGAATATGAATCTGTTTCTGAAGAAAGGGCAGCGAGCAGCATGGGAGGCTCTGATGCCAGAGGAGAAACTAGTGAGTCCCTCCCTGTCATGCACGTTCTTTGAGGCCCCTTTTTTCCTTCTTACCCTGATGGTCTGCAGTGAGCATGACCCCCCCCAGTGTCTACAGCTTTCATGTGAGGGAGGTGATGATTGCACGTGTTAATGATGTTTTTTCCCTCCATTCCACAGAACTGTGCAGGGAAGGAACAGAAAGCTCTGGCCACGTTTTAGAATCTGGGAACCTCTCACCACCGCTGCACTTTGTCCACATGAGGGGTTTTCCTACCCAGGCTAGTGCCCAGGACATCGTAAACGTGAGTAACAACAGAACCATGAATTCAATTCGGTTGTCCTTACCAGTGCAAACCCTTGATTCATTGTTACAGATGAAGTGACTTCAGATTTTTAATTTAGCCGTGTCTCTGTTAGTCCTCGGGGCTGTGTGGCTTCAGGCTGAATGCGTGTGGAAACCTGAGCTTGCTGAGGGTTACAGCCTCCCCCGGGGAGCCGTGGCCTCGAGCGCAGCAGCCATCTCCTCGCCTCCTTAAATAACGGATTAAAGCTTGCTGGACTGGCTGCATAGCCCTCAGTTTGCCTTGAGTAGCCATTTATAATCTTAGCCCAATTTCAGAGCACCTGACTGTACAAAAATGAAGTTTCCGAATCTTTTAAATCTAATTTTTACTTCATCTTAACAGTATACAGCATCACAGAGAGCGCATGTACCTGCACTTAATGACTCGGAGGCGCACAGAGCACGTGTGCTTTGTGAGGATTTTTGTTCCTATCAAGAATGTCTCTGCCAGGAGCATGCAGTGGGTGGGAGGCTGCGCGCCGTGGCAGGGGGGACGTGAAGCTTCAGCTTCACCCAGATGGGGAAGGGCGGCCTCTCGCCACTCCCGGGCTCAGACCCCCTGCCGCGGGACAGGCTTGAGGAGGAAAAGATCAAGTTTCTTGGCAATAGGGTGCATTACTGTTTCTTTCTCTCTGAACTCTCTCTTATTCTCTGCCTTTTCAGTTTTTTGCTCCGCTGAAGCCCACAAGGATCATGGTAGAATACAACTCCCATGGAGATGCCACAGGAGAAGCAGACGTGCATTTCGAGAGCCATGAGGACGCAGTCGCTGCGATGGCTAAGAAGGGGTCACAGCTGCGTAAGTAAAGAGGAGGGGATCTCACAGCCCCACAGCTCAGACCCTGGGGGAGTTTGGCCCAGCTTGTCAAGCTGCTGTTAACACCCTGCGCAAAAAGATCATCTTTGGTGGAGATTTCAAAATTAGCCTGTAATGCGACATCGGCTTTGTGAGAAAAAAAAAAAAAAAAAAAACAAAACGTAACACGTGCAAGTCACTGAACACAGACTTCCTCTCTGAACTTGTTCTCCAGAGTGCAGCGCCGTTGAATTGTTCCTGAACGAACATCCAAAGGCAGAAGAAAACTGCTAGTGACAGTGGCGTGGTCTCAGAGGTGGTAAGTGCATCCTCCTCCATCCTCCTATTTTCTAGCAATGTGTGCCTCTGGCTTTATTGTTTCTGATACTCCGGATCTCAGCTCACTTAAAGGCTAAAATTCAGAGGGACTGAAGGGGATCATCACCGCTACACTGAGGTCAGGCATCAAGCCTGGACCCTCTGGCCTGCGAATCCCTATTCCAGGGGTGAAGGGCATGTGGGGAAGGGGCAGCAGCTCCTGCCAGAGGCTGCTGCGCTGCCCAGATGCTTACCCCGGTGCAGCTGAGCTTTTTGTTTCCCTCCTCCCTCGAGAGCTCCCCCAGTGTGAGCGATTGAAGGCTCCGAAGGACTTGTGTTCCCTGGCATGGAAGAGGAAATGGGGCTAAATGTTTTCCAGAGACATGGATTAACAGACATTGGGCATCTGGCTGGGGCCAGCAGGAGTGTTACTTACTACAGACCAAGTAACATTCTTGAGGTTATTTTTTTTTTTAACCAACCCAGTCTCAAACGAAGCCAGTAGCCTACCTGTGTGTGGTAGTCAGCCTGTTTTCACTGCAGCCGGGCTGTCAGCGAGATTAAACCCGCCCCCAGCTTCTGCGTCCTGCACCCCCCCCCGAAAACACCTCCCCTGCTGGGAGCTCTTTGTGGCATCTTACTTTTTTCTGGCGAGATCTTTCAGTACTGCCAAATGCTGCTGTTCTATTGTTGGAGACAGTAATTCGGAATAAAACACAGCAGTGCATTTGAAACAAGGGAAGCGATAAGCTGTGGCGAGGTGGTGATTTTCCTCTTTTCCTCTTCCTTTCTTTCTAGGCCAAGGTGAACACATTCCGTGGGTCTGAGCTTAAAGACGGAGTACGAGTGTCGCTACTCAATAACGAGGATAAACTGTATTAAATCTAGTCTAGCATTGTGTAAAAGCATGTAATAAATCATGTTGACATCCTGTGGAAAGATTGGCTGTGGCAGAAGCAGCTGTACCAGGGGAACGGCAACTGCTGCGGGACGGAGCAGTTCTAGTCTCCAGCTGCGTAACAGTGCACGGAGCGTTAATAACACACCAGTACAGGCCATTAACAGCCCGCAGTGAGTTAAGGTGCTGGCACCCAGCAGGGAGCAGGGGCATCCTGCCCTCTCCTCCGCCCGTGTACGCGCCCCCCTCGCCCCATCTGAAATGCCTTCACCCACGCAGCAAAGCGGAACGGGATGGAAAGACCACGCGGGACACAGGATACAGATGATTGAGTTTTTATTGTTGTGTGAAACAAAATTAACACCAGAAGAACTGCCTTCTGCTCCCCCGCCCTTTCAAACGCCCAGGTCTCTACCCCCTCCTCCCCCGCCCTCCCAAAGCCTTACAAGCAGCATCTGAGCAAACGCGCCTTGAGAACATCAGCACTCGTGGGCAGAGACAGTCCCTGGAGCCTGGCAGCAGAAAGGAGGCAAGTGCTGACCCCAGGAGCTGGCAGCCTCGCCCCAACCTCCCTCAATTTCCATTTCAGCCTCCAGAGCTGTGTTGGGAAGAGGTTCAGCCACCTCCCTGCTCCTTCGTAGGGACCCACGCGGCTTTGGAGGCCCTGCCCCAGAGCTGCCCTGCTCCTCACACGAACACGTGGCAGCCTCCACAGCTCCTGCCCCGACACTCAAAAGCCAGGTACAGGTCACGGCTCAGCTGTGGCGGCTGAGCTGCAAAGCATGAAAATCATTTGCACTCAATGCTTGGTTTCCAGTCCTCTAACAGGGAAACTGCTAGGCCTCACTTGCTCCTTGGGGGATGAGTCCCGCTGGGTTGGGATGCAGGAATTTCAACTCTGGTAGGTGTGTACAGGAAGTACCCAGACGTGGCTTTTCGTATTTCAACACTGTTTACAACTCCTAATCTACCTTAAGGGATAGCAGTGAGGAAGTGGGTCTGGTAACTAGCATGAGAGGGAAAAAAGCCAAAAAAAAAAAGATCTATTTAAAGTTGCTCTCGCTGTGAAGCACTTTAGCTCCGAAGGGCACTAAGAGGAGCTGGAGAACTTGGGTGGCTGAACACACTGAGGCGTAGAGGGAATGAGAGAGTAATTCCTGGTACAAACTAGCACCACGCACGTAACCAACCCCGGCTCTGAGAGGCTTTTTAATGCGCTCCCAGGCAGTCTAATGAACAGAAAATCCCCTCTGAGGAATTAAACCACGAACCCCTAATAAACTGTACAGAATCAAATGCATCTGTCATAAATATGTCAAGTTTTCTGCAGACTACGACACATCCTGTGGTCTTACAAGACTGAAGCAGGCTTCCAGTATAAACCAGACCAACCACCACTATGATGTGCTACATGCTTCACCGCTGCTTTTTGGAGCGACAGACAGTTCCGTGAGGTAACAGTGACAAAAAGTGATGTAGCGTGAACTGGGAAACCCCTCTGAACTGTGTTTCAAATTAGAATTTCTAGTAGGTGAAAAGCATTCCGATTCCATTTCGCCTTCATTTTCAACTAACAAAAAGAAGTGCAATGCCGGGTTCATTACAACGGCTTTTTCATGTGCACGAGGGGGAGAGGTGGGTGGAAGTGGCCCTAGACCCGTGTCACGGTGAGGGTTTGCTATCTAAATACCTGGGAGTCCAGTTCCTCCAGTCCCCGGCCCAGTCTGAAGCGCAGTCCCACCCGTGGCCACCATCACGCAGTCACCAAGTGACAGGGAGGGGGGTCTCTGCGATGCCTTAAGGCACCTCCCGTGCCGGATCCGTGCAGGCCATCGGTTCGTGCCTCAAAACCACCTACACCCCCCCTCCCCCAGCCCCTCAAATACGGGAGGAGAACTTCCACAGCTCGGTTTGAGTTTTCCACACTGCTTTGCACAGCAAGCCCGCAGCCCCAGGGCTGAGTTGAAGCTAGAAAGTTTACTGGCGTCCTACCTGGCCTCCTCAGGCCCGGCCCGGGCGCAGCACGGGGGAGTCACGCTGCCGAAGGCAACTGGGAGAGGGGAAACGCTATTTCAAGCAGCAGCCAGACCCGAGGATTAAAAACGCTCCCGTTGTGCTCTCGGCGAGCCTCTGCGTAGCAGCAGCGCGCCGCCGCGCCGCGCACCCGGGGACAAGGACGTTCCTGGCTTACAGGCACACACAGAGCTCTCTTTTGGGGCGGGGGGGGGGTGTGTCTCAGTTCTCCCTGCACCCCAAGGCTGCTCGGGCGCACCTCCGGGGCTATGCCAGTCCCCAAGCAGTTCTCCCCAGCACAAGCTCAGCCCAGAGCAGGCAGATTTTTCGTACAGGGAAGGCTCAGACGGTTGTTTTAGCCACGAGAGGCTGCGAACACCACGAAGCTGCTTCCCCCCTCTGACCTCCAAGGAACACAGGCAAGTGTCTTCTCTTCACGTTCCCCCTGAACAACTCCAGAAACCATCATCAGCTACAACCAGTTTTTTTTGTCACCTCTCTCTACCACCTGTCCCCTACAAGGGACTGGTCGAATACTGCTGGATGAGCCGCTTGTGACAGGGGTTGCAGACACGCTCGGGGTTAATACTGGATGGGAGGGGCAGCTCGTTCCTGGAACAGGCTTCACAGAAGATGCCACCGCAGTTCTTGCAGACGTTCTGGAATGCAGGAAGAGGACAGAGAAATTCGATGAAGACACAAGCAACACAAACTTACGTTTTCTCTCATTAACGTTGTCAACCCAAATCCTCTGCTGGGCTAGAGAAAGACGCTCAACAACTGCACTCTTATCCCCGCCAAAGACCCCAAGTTTGCTCCTGTGCTCGGGACCGGTTGACAGCAAAGCTCCTTAGGTCAAATGAGTGTAGGTGAGGGCTCAGGTAAGAGTTACCAATAATGAACCATCCCAGTTTTAACTGACTCAGTCTGCTAGAGCGTTTTGTCGCAAGAGGTGCACATCTCTATTTCAAAGCCGTATAAATACACTGGAACAACACAACTTCCCTGAGACGAGTATGTAAATGCGCACACGCATTTGGAAACGTTATCAGAGTCAGATATAAAGCTGGGGCATTTGCCTTGAACTCACGTGTTTTCTCCAGATAAACACTGGGGAATAGGAGAGACTAGAAGTCCTACAGAGAGCTCCAGCATGCATAGCACGGGAGGTTCATGGGGCGACTGGGGGCCCCCTGCTCCCCGCCTGTTCTAAGCGTCACGGCCCCGCCGTGGCAGGGAGGAGAGGGCAGGCTCGGGAGCTGCTCTTCACTCTGGCAAAACTGCTTGTGGCCGGCCGCCCCTCCGTGCCAGGCAGAGCTGCGCAAACAGCCGCAGCCGGGAGCCCCTGCCCCGAAGAGCAGCAGCTCGTCACCGGCCCCCTCGGCCGCCTCCTGGTTGGGTCACCTCGCTGCGCTCCCCAGTCCCCGTCCACCCCCCCCCCCCAAAAAAAACTTCCCAAAAGACCCGTCTGGAACTGAGGTGCTGGTTCACCTTCGCCCAGGTGCGGAGGTCGGAGCCCCGCAGGCCTCGTGCCGGGGAGCCGGCCGCCTCCCCCCTGCCCCCGGCCGGCCGCCGCAGCCCTTCGGCGCAAGCTTTGGCAGATCCATTAGGGGAAAACCACAACCCGCCGCCGCCTCCCAGCAGGTTTATCGGCGCCTCGGCTCGCTGCCTGGCAAACTGCTCCTCGGCAGCAGTGGAGGGAAGTATCGGGACGAAGGCAGTGCTCCCACTGAGCAGCCTCTTGGGCAGCCCTCTTGTAATCCCCCTAGGGTCAGCCCGTGAAGCAGTGACGAAAGCAAGAGGGGCTTACTCGCAAAAAAGCGTAAGAGAAAAAGGCGAGGTGGCTGAAGCGGGGAAATAGCAAACCAGCGTTAACACCCTCCTGTTCCCGCTTCTGGCTGATCCCAGGGAAAAACCGCTTAGCTAAAAGGGAAGATGCTAAGGGGAAGGCAAAACAAACCGCTGAACACAGAGCAGCGTGGGGAACCCTCGAGCAACCGCTGTTCAACAAATTTACTTTAAGGGTAAAGTGGACTTCGGAAAAGGGCTCCTTTCTTTGGCCCAAGTGACCAGAAGGAAATCTGTGTTATTCGAAAATGAAAACCAGAGGAAACGCAGATTCACCAGATGATGGAGATGACAATACAAGTCCTTGGAGTACCTTTTTTTTTGTTCGGCTGCCTTCTTCTTGGCAGAGTTGGCAGATCTTGGTGTTGCCAGGTCCTGACAGCTGTTCCTAAAACCCAAGTTAAAAAAAAAAAAAAAAAAAAAAGACATTCTGCTTTACGTGCTTCTTTACAAGGCACCCCTATTAGAGCTCTGCAGCTGATCTGCATCTAACGAGAGGGAGGCAGATGTGAAGCGCGTGTGTTTCCAACCCGTCTCCTGCCAGCATGCCGTGCAGCCAGGCAGGACCCCCACGCCCGGGGAGGACGATCCGCAGCCGCACTGGCTGCACCACTGGGCACGCGGGGAAGCCCGGCACAGCCGCGTGAACCAGGGACCACGCAGCTCGGTTTGCAGGCTGAGAGCGAGGCTGCCGGCCCAGCGACCGGGCGGGAACGAAACCTCTTTTTCACTGCGAAAAAGAGCTGATAGATGCGGAGGTTCCCAGCCGGCAGGATGCAACGCGAGTGTTGTGGCAGCCCGCTGAGAGTTAGGGGTCTAGCTGTGCTTTGTCAGGCACCCAGGGGAGAAGAAAAAAAAAAAAAACAAACAAACATTCTGGTCAATTTGACATGTATGGAAAAAAAAACAAAAAAAAAAAAAAAAACAAAAAAAAAAAAAACCCCCCCACCAAACCAAACCAAAAAAACCCCACCTCAAACAAACAACAAACCAACTGACCAAAACACCCCTTCCCTTTAGCCTACAGAGCAAACAACACAAGCCCTAGCCCAGACCAAGGAGGTTAAACACCACCATTCTCACAAATACTAAATTATATTACGCTTCCTTTGTTTGTTTTAGACACGCCAATGCAGGAAAGGTACCGGGCAAAGGAATAATACAAGGGGTTAATATTAGTTGAAAAACCAGCGTGGTTCTGCCGAGGAGGCAAAATTAACTGAGGTGGGTGCAGCACTGCCAGGTAAAAGCCTTTCGAATGAGATAGGCAGCGCTTTTCCCACTGGGGAACCATTGCTGCCACAGACTCTACAGACAAATCCTCTCCAAGGGAAAACCCCAAGGACAAAATTCAGGGTATCTGGAGAGGGAAGATGCTGCAGCAACCCAGGCGCTCCCTCAGTACCCTTGCCTTTCGCTATGTCCGTGCAAGAAAAAGAATCACCAACCTGCTCTTCCTGCGTGCCGCTCGGTACCCTGCAAGGGAACAACACCGTCACTCAGAGCCAGCGCTTCAGTCACCACAACATCTGGACTATCGGAGAATTCCCTCAGCCTGCTTTTAAAATCCTGCCCGTACAGATTTTTGGTTTTGTTTCTTCAAAACCACGGCGCCCGGTCTGCTCGCGTGACAGACGACGGGACGTTGATGAGCTCTGCCGAACGAACGGCAAGGCGAGGAGGCAGCACATGACTGCAGGCTGGGACATACAACACTCCCGGCTAAACGGGAGCAGCAGGAGAAAAACTTGTAAAATGCCTTCGGGAGTACAGAGGAAAGGGAGCGTGAGCGTGGAAAAGACTGTTTAGATGGCAGAAGCACAGTTTAAAACTAGCTTTAAAAGCTTATTACTATGAATTGTTTGACCCCCTACAACTTCTGTGAAGAGGCAGCAATAATTCATCTTGAGGCCGTGCAGATAAATCGGCGGCCTGATGCTCACACTGCTTAAATGCTCAAGGTGAAACAGGGGTAAAAAGCACGTAAGGCCTGGAAGGTTTTTAATATCCGGTAAAGCAGATTTGAATGGAGCTTATGCTATTATTAAGACAATACTTTTCTGGTTAACTTCATAGTGGCATTCAGAGCACTGCGTTTTCTCACTGACACTGTGAATACTTCACATAGGCTGTTACCATCTCTGAGCAAAGCCCTCACTACAGAGCTGTTGCCTGGGGCTTTTAAAACACCTTTGCACATTTAAAACCCAATCTGAAACTTAGCTTTCAAATACCAAACAAATCCTGCAACAAGAATCCTCCTCTGTAATGTTCAGCTTAGAAACATGCTACCCGAACCACATTTTTGTACAACCATATTCTTGAAGTATTATTTAAAGTTCCCTTTCTCCAACAGCTTTTATTCTCGTCTAGAAGCCACTGCTTGATTAGCTCCAAATGCCACTGATCCACCAACCCTCCTCCCTTCTCTCACCAACCAGGGAACCTTCCTGGGACACGAGTACCAAAGGTCCAGGTCTCTGCAGGATTTGGCTCACACAGGTTCATTGATTAAGAAAAATTGGTAAACAGCAGGTTTATATATAAACAAAGGTAAATGGGAAAGAGAGAGAGCTTTTCAGATCCAGAAATGCTGATGGCAAGCGGCAGAACCTCCTTCTTCCCTTTGAGAGCTATGAAAAAGCAGCAAAGAGACCTCAACAGAGGGCATGAGGTTGAAGATCTTTCTTGAAAAGGAAAGTTGCACTATTCCAAACTTCCCATCAGCAAGGCAATCAGAGAAGGGGAAGCAGGACTTGGAAAGGGAGAAGGCAAAAAAAATGAGGTTTCTTTTTGTCCATACTTGTGTGGCAGGACACTGTTTTCCTCTCTCGGTGGCTGTTTCACATTAGTGTTTTCTTCCTGGATTCTGAGCTTCCCGTCCTGCCAAAAGGAAACATTTACCCATCAGTTGAACCATATGAAGACTCCAGTTTCAGCCCTGCCACACTGCCAAGGGGGGCTTTACATTGCTATTTCGGGAACACTGATCTGTCCCTCCTTGGTCCAGAGGTGGTTTTGGACACGTGAAAGCATGGAAACACCAATCCACTCTAGGAGCAGCTCTGCATGCTTTCCTTTTGCTGCGAGCCGAAAGCTGACTTCGTATTTCAGAGACAGAGGCTTAAACGTGTCCAATGACCTCCTTTTCCTGGAAGGTACAAGAAACTTCACAGTCATCATTTCTTATTTTAACAGCAGAGGTTGAAGAGGCAGACAGGCCAAATACGCTTTTGAAAGACCGATCAGCGAGACAAATCCTCTCGGCCAGGAAAGGGAACAAACCCTCCCCTCTTCGGCAACTGAAACACACCTGTCAAAACCCAGCCTCCCCCCTGCTCGGCGAGCGCCGGCCGAGCCGCGCGCGCATCGCTCTCGAGTTGTGACTACAACCTCGGCGGAGCTCTCAGATTTCTGCAAATGCAAATTTCCACTGGATCAAGCACCACCTACACGTTCTGCGGCAAAAGAGTCCACTCTGAAATCACCTTTTGGCACGTTGGCCCTTTCCTTCCCAGCGGGAGCACCCGACTGGTGCTACCGCACCCGCCCACGGAGGAAAGGAGGATAACCCCATGCAGAAACCTGATTTCAAACCCAGTGACAGGCTGTCAGCCAAGCCGCAGAGAAAAACAGCTATCCTGCCTTCCAGAGAGCTAACCAACTTTTGCTTTAAAGATGTGACTACCCAGATTTGGGTTCGGGGGTTTCTTTTTTTCTTTATTCCCGGCCAACTGCAATGCACTTAGTTCACGGTTCCTTCTACTGAGTTGTGGCTGTTCTACTACAGCAAACATGACTTTTTGGTAAATGACTTGTGATACATGAACAACTTCACTGAAATGATGTGTAAAGTTGGTTAAAAAAAAAAAGGAAAAAACTGCATTGCTCCAGCAGCCCAGGGGAGCCCAGTGAGGTCAACTCTCAAGTGCAGCAGCACACGTGAGAACTGCAGGCACAACCTCTACTCGCAGTTCTCACAGTTACAAGTTCCGTTCTCCAGAACAACTGCTTTGCTGCCAATTCCCAGAAAAAGAGCCTGTTTTGGTTTACAGAAAAAGCTGCAGAGCAGATTTCCACTTTGAAAGGCAAATTTACGGGTAAAAAAGCAAATTTCACTTGGGGACTATGAGTTTTACCCCCGAGCTGAATGCTGCGCTTGGCTTTGATAAAACACTGGATTCGCCAATGCGCAGCACTGACACAACACCAAAAGTGATTTGCCCCAGGGAGAGAGTAAATCTTGGAAGACAAAACTGTTTACCTCTTTCAGGAGAACTTCCTTTATTACAATGCAAAAACCAAAAAGGAACAAGTTTGCTTTTTGTAAGTTGTAACGGGTACAGCATCTCTCCTCCTATAGTACACATGGTTTCACTAAACTAGCGAAGGAAAACCATGATCATTGCTAAGATTTTGTCAGGTACCCAGCCCAGAAGAGGAAACCAGCATTCTGCAGTGAAGCGTAAGGCTGGCAATATTTTAGTGAGGCTCAACTCAATAAAATGCCCCTTTAGTGTGTGTAGAAAACCTCCCAAAGCTCACTTTGTGGCACGTTAACAAGATGTATTTATTGCCTAATAAAGCTCAGGAAAAGCGAGCGAGCAAATATGGGACTATACTTCAAACCCAAGCCAAGAATAAAAGTCGTATTACCTGTCTTAGCCAATTCTTTGTGCCTTTTTTGTTTTCCTGGCTGCGCTGGTGACTGTGTGACCATCTGTCTCTTTCCCGCTTCAGCTCTAGTTCAAGGTGGCTCCTAGGATATCAAGGGGGAATGGTGAATAAAGGCTCTGGTTTTGTAACACTTGACATTGAGAGCTCATGAACTGTTTAACCCTCGCTTTACACTAAAGCAACTGAACCCCAACTCAAGAGCTGAAAACTGCCGCTCTGAATAAAAAGTTGTCTCGCAGCGTGTTAAGCCGTAATACATCAGGATGGAATGTGTAAAAGTTCTTTATCTAATTCCAGTACAACTTTGCAGGAAATAAACCTGCAGACTATGTCCCGAAGTCCCTAAAGAATTTACTCATCTATGACAGAACCGCTGATCAGTGCCCCGTGCCAAAAGACATTCTTCAGCGTGTCAGCCGCTGCAGGAGAGGCTCTGAAACCAGAGCCAACGTCCGTGACCACCTCCCGAAGGCGCCGGTTCCTCCCCAGGAGCTGTGGCAATTCTTCCGACACCTCACCTCAAAGCGGGGGCCTGGTCCTCGGGGAGCAGCCGGGGGCTGAGGCCGAGGGCTCCTCGCCGGGCGGGCTCCGCTCTGCTGCGGACACCGCCTGAGCCACGGCGTACGAGCCCGTCAGCCCCGGGGGGCCGGGCCCGGGCAGGCGAGCCCGGTGGGCCGAGAGGAGGGTGAATACTCTGTCATACAGAGCCCGGCCAGCTGCCCAGCCGCAGCAACGCTCTCGGAGCGCACGGACCGTCAGCGACTGAAGCGCTGGGAACGCCGGTTTCTGCCGTCGTTACACGCGGAAGACGGCAGCTGCCGTAGGGAACGACCCCTGCTCCAGAATCGGAGCCTAGAACCTGAGTATCGACCAGTAAAAGCAGTGGCAGGGCCTGTGCTATGAAACATTCAGAATCCTGATTGCTATTAAAACCATTATTATCCTTGTTAGCCTCCAAACCGCTCCAAGGTTTTTTTTTTTAAATAACTCGTTATGACTACAGGCTTGTTCATTACATGGCCTAACTGGAGCGAGTAAAGCTGGTGGAGGCATGGATCCAGAAATGAACACTTGTCCATGTTGACTTTTAAGACCAAACCAACCGAGGGAATCCTTGCTTATAGCCTGATTTAAGAACACCACCACAAAAAGCCCCATTTCCTCTTAAAGCAATATAATTCAAGCAAGACTACCCACCACCCACTGCAGTAACTCACTGCTTTAGAAACTCTGTTAAATAAGGCAGTACAGCTTCCCAGTAAAGGAGCCTCAAACATTTCCATACCGTCATCTTGATTTCACTTGAGTGAGGAAGGAATCAGAGAAAGTCCAACTGATGGAAAACCAGATCAATTTGCAAATGTCTTCCCCAGGTAGCCACACTAACCAAGTCAAACTGACGCAGTGTGAGGTGCATATGCAGAGGAGATGCATTCCCCTTCTGTACCAGAGAACACTGCTAAGCCCAGCCATGCACACCCAGGACCTCGCGTGAGTTTTTGACAAAAGCCGTTAGCTGCTTTTCTGGGAAGCATCTGTAACTTTTTGAAAAAAGGAATAAAAAGCTGTGCCGGGGGGCGGGGAAGTTAAAAAAATAAATGCATCCAGCAGTGCTTCCACACAATTCATTCCAGTGACCTTGCAACAAACCAAAGATGCATCATGGCTACAGGAGAGATGCTCTTCTGTTCTATGATAAGAGGATTCCTCTGTTTTCCTGATACTCGTAAACTGATGACACTGCAGGGGAAAATATGATAGCTCTCACCAAGTTCTCTGCATTTGGCTTCCAACCTTTTGGTTGCCTCCCAGCAAAACTGAGACCAGCTTTAACTGGAAACAAAAAAAAAAAATAAATCCCAGCACCGTTTGTCAGACTGACAACCAGGATTGCTTCCCTTGCGCCAGACTCTTCAGGGTTAGCTCTAGGCCAAGACTGAGCTGCCACATCCCTGACGATGAGCAGCGAACTGTTTGCTTTCAGTGTTAGCTTCAGATTCCAAATTATGTTATTACAGTGGCTTTGCAGCTCGTGGTGATCCCCGTCCTCCCGCATCTCTAGCGCTGCCGGCTTTCGAGCGACATGATGATTGGCAGATGCCCAGCAAATCTAACCGCAGTGCAGAAACCCCCCCCAGGGGCATTTCCACGTTCAGAAAAACACCCTGACATTTCATATCTCCACCACAGAGAGATTCTGCAACCTGCAGAATATTCTGATATTCTCCTGCCAGCCACCTAAGATTTGTACTTTTGCTGGTGGTTTCTGCTGACCACGTAGTTCCTCTGCGTTTCCTTCCAATTCAATTTTTCCAACTGTAACTCTGAAGACACACACGCTGAAAGATTTGCCATCTCACAAGGCGCTGCACCTCCCTTGAGTTAATGCCTGCCCGGCAGCTAACATCCCCCTTCTCCCTCCCCACCTCCAACCCCTACTTCCTTCTGCGATTGCCCTGCCTGCTTTCTACTAGACACCGTAACAACAGCCCAGAAAATAAATTAGAAAAGGATCTCTTCACCGCTGCCTGGAGAGCTCTTCCACTTCTAGCTGGAGGCTGTTGATTTTGTCCCCAAACTCCTGCTTGAAGAGACGGTTGTCCTGCTGGGCCAACTGACGGTCCTTCTCTGCCCGTTGCAATCTGGATTTGAGCCACATGAACTTGTGATAAAAAACAAAAGCCATGGTGGGGAGGAAGACTGAGTTTAACCAACAAATTAAAAAACCCAGTGAAAAGGTAAAGCCAAAAAAAAGGAATGGTAAAAACAATGGAAAGGAGGAAAATTTTTTAAAGAAAAGAAGAATGTAGGTGAACCAGGCAGAAGCTCTGATTTTCAATAGTTTTTATTCTATTACTACAGTTTACAGCCATTAGATGAAAAACATAAAACATCACTTTTATCCATATTCAAAGCAAACCTCAAGTACATAGAATTTGAAGTCAGATTTGATTTTAATGTACGTTACATTTCAGCTTTACACATGTAACTGGAACTTGCAACATAGGTTAGCTACTATATTGAGAATTAGTGCATTTTCCTGGTCTCTTCCACGGACTGACACATTGGCTCAAGCGCCCAGCCATGAGTTCACCAAAGCATTTCCACTTCGGGCCTGACATCAGAAATAGCCAGATCCTTAATTCTGTCTTATTTCAGCGTTTCTGTGACAGCAAACAAAACCAACCCAACCCCCTCTTTCTACACAAGAAATCTGGGGAGGGGCAGGGGAGTTAACTGTTTCAGCTAGCTACTCGGATACCTTGACGAAAGCTTCCACCCCTTTATTACTATTTTATTTTTCTCCAGGTAGTTAAAACGAGTTTCTAGTAGAAGGCTACAGAAGGTTAAGTTTATACTCTCAAGCGTGCGACTTGGGCTTCGTGTAGAGATTTAAAACGGGTCTCCAAGTCGGCTTGTGTGCGGGAGTCCACGAAAGCAGCTAAGCGGTGCTACACGCTCGCCTACGGGAGGACTGCGCCCAGCCGCGCAGATTTTTAAATGTACCTAGGGAGAATCAGTAGGTGTTCTTTCCCCAGTCACATTTGCCACCCACTGCCCCGCAGAGCACTACCCCACAGGACGAAGGGAGAACTGGCACCAAAGAATTTTTACAGGCATCTCACCAGAGCAAAAAATCCCTTCATTTAACACAGAAAACCCCCAAGTGTGATCTTCCTGAAAGAAAAAAAAAAAAAGTAATCTCTAGGAGCACTTGAAACCTAAAGCCTGTAACAGGCCAGCATGGTGAACTTCTGCGGCCACAGGGAAGAGGATATTAGTTTATAATAGTCCAAGCTACAGTTACTTAAAGTTTTGCACTGGGGTGTTAAGTGGGCAATTATTTTTCCTACTAAGAGCTGTTTCCAAGCTTCAGCTGTTCTTCCATGAGCAAATTCCATTTGTATTGAGAAACAGAAACTCAGAAGCAAATGAAAGAAGTGTAACAGTAAAAGGCAACTCTTCCTTTTAAACCACTAACTACTCAGACAAGGAATGGTCAAGTACCAAATTACCATTTCCACTCCCCACCACTGCACATTTTGTTCCTTTTTTTTGTTTGTTTTTTAGTTTCTTTTAAACACTAGAGTATAAAGATTTTTTTTTTTTTTTTTTTTTAAAACACTTAACTTCCCTTTCTAGGAAGAGGAGAGACCTACCAAAACACCTCTCCTCAGCTTCCTTCAGTCAGGAAGAACCGCCAACGTATGTCTAGAGGGATTCATGGCAGAGGTAGAAGGCAATGCAAAGATAAGGAGGTTTCCACTGAACTTACCACTCTATCATGTTACTCTAAGACACCTAGCTACTAATTCTGGACACATGAAGTTTAGAGGAATAAGGGTGAGTCCCCACCCTCCCACCAAGTCACTAAGGCAAAATTGTTGCAAGCAGTCTCTGTTACAAGAGGGCTGGTCTTCGCGGTGACGAGCTATCGAGTCGTGCCCGTTTTGTCTCGGACTTGGGGCTGAACCCACGGAACAGAATTGAATGGGTAACGGCTTGGGGTACGCACACAACTACTTTCAACAACTTCCAGGGATGCATTTTTTCGTCTACTTCACAAAAAGGGTAACACAGAAAACTAGTTGACTTTTCAGAGCTGGCCAGTCTGGTATTGGCTTGACCAATGCACCTAGTATCCATAAATGCTGAAGACTTGAGCTGCTGTATACGGTACGCATCACCGGGATGTACAGAGCCACATATCTCCCATTCCTTACGCTTTTCAGGTGTGTTTATTGGCCAACTCACTGGTACCTTAACACAGTTTAAATGGCAAAGTTAGGGATTTTTATACCCAACTCTAAATCTCTGAAGAAAAACTCACTGGTTTTAAAAATTCAGCAAACTCCAAATCAACTTTAGGTGACAATTAACATTTTAACAGTTGCTTTTAGCAATTCTCAAGTTCTCCCCTCATAAATGAGTTCTGATGTCAGAGCTGTGAGGTGACCAGACATAAAAATGTCTAATGATGCTTCTGGATCAGTTTGTTTGCTGCACTATTTAAGGTTTTTGCCTGTTTCACCAAATCCTTTTCACTGTACAAGTAAGTCAGAATGAGAAGGATGAGAAAATGGAAAAATAACAACAGCGAGAGAGAAAGAGCAGATCAATTAGCTGAGTGGATATCATAAAACATTTTAAAATACCAATTTTCTACAAACAAAATGACCTTTTCTTACAAAGAACCATTTGCAAAATAAACCCTAAAATGAGAGCGTCGATTTAGTGCAATGTCTACTCATTAAGTCCCAGACAATACATGATCCTGAGAGCTATGCTTTCCCCTGATCTTCTCGGACCTAGCACGACGATCATGGCAAATCTCAGAGGCAGAAGTTCTAAACCTCTGGCCAAACTACCGCAAAGCCTGGCTTCAAGCACAAGACAAAAGGGAAGAAGGAGCACTGCTCCTTCTCAACTCAATCTGCTTTCAACGCTGAGGCCCTCCTACTTTCACGAGGCTTAGTAACATGAGAGCAACACAGTCATTAGGATGCGACGTGTCCCAGTCCCAATGGCTATTGTACTTATGGGGCTGTCTTCACCAACTTCTAGCAACAGCCAGGCTGCCCTCACATCTTCCTCCATTTACTTTCACATAAGGATTTTTTTTCGAGCTCATCTTCCCCAGAAGGTACAAGGCTGTTCATAAACAGAATGGTTTGATTGGAGGTATTTTTTTCAGAGCAGTACCAGAGAGATCTGGAGTAACCAAGAACCTCCCAGCCTGGCCTCTGCTGCACTGTAATATTGTCATTAACAGTCAAGCACTTCTCAAAGTTCCTATTTACGTTTTTTATCAGTGCTATCACAGATTGTAACTGACTTGTAATGACTAGATAACATACAAAAGTGCAGCTGGCATAGATAAACAAAGCTGCTATGTTAATCGCTGGTTTAGTAGTATATTCTTTTCTAATGGAAGCCCTCCTGAGCATGCAGAACACTGCTCCTAACAGCATCTCACAAAATTGTAGCTCTCCTCATACAGCTCTGTTGAGCAGTGGCTAAGCAGAGCACTCGGACTCTCACCTGCTTCATTCAGGGTCAGCTGGACACTACCACTAGAACACACACATTATTTGATATAATTGTAAAAGTTTCATTTTTTACCTTTGTTCAAGCTGTTTGATGGTGGCAGCCATCTGATTTGTTTTTTCTTCCAAACGGCTGTTTAATTCACTCTTCTGTTTCACTCCCATGTCTGAACTCTGGAAATAGTTGTATCATGGTTCTTGTAAGTAGCAGTAAAACCAAAGTAAGCCACGATAAATCATGTGGCGCATGAAACAAAAGGAGCAGAAGCCAAAAAGGCAGGAGAAGGTGTTCAAAAAGGAAATACCAGGACAATATTGCAAGGACAAACATCTTGCCATACAGGTGCAGGCTACATCTGGACCCCACAAAAGGGCAATACCACAATCACTGAAGCTTCCAGTGTAATACGCATTAATGCAGTACCTGCTAGTATCATTTGACTGTTTTGTATAGAAAGATTGGATCGAGGAGAGCCGAAGCAACTCCCTCCTGTTCTAAAGTTTAGTTTAGAATTTCTTTGAGCAGTTTGTGTTGCTCTCGGTCTTAAGAGTCTGCTTTTGTCATCGCACAGTAATGTATGTAATTACACCATACACCTTCTAATACTAGACTGTACTGGAACAGAAGCTACCATGGCTCAGGATTTATACCACTTCCCCAGTCACACCCACACATTTCCAGATTATCCTAAGTCCTTCTTCAGAAAAAACTGCATTTTCCTTTAACCTCCGCCACACTCCACTGTTCAGGTATTATATCTTTCTTGCAGCAAGACAAAAAAAAACAAAAACAAAAACCAGAACAAGAGCTATCACTTTTCCCTGGAAATCATTGCATTTTATTTAATTATTTCCCTACCTGCAGCTTGAAAGACAGTTCATGCTTTAGGGCCCTGAGATCATCCAGTTGCTGTCTGAGTGCCACCAGCGCATCTTGCTTCTCGCAAACATCTTTCTCCAGCATCTTCATGGCTAGCTCCATCTCCTGTCGCATCCCGATCTGCACCTCCAGCTCTTTCTCTACATCCTGGAACACAGGGCTCGCTCAGCGTTACCAGCCAGCTTTCTGTCAGATAACCACCCTTCACTGCTGCTCCCACCAGTGCAGTCGCTTCCTAGAAGCGACTAGTATTGCCACAGCATCAGGGTTACAGATCTGACCCATCAAAGGCAATTAAGGACAACAAATGCACATTTTCAGTCCAATTCTAATGCAACGTAAACAGCATTACTAGCAGTGAGTCGGGAAGTACTATACAGGCCCATCTTTCTGATGGAGAGGACTAGTGAAAAGCTGGAAGACTTTCTTTCCTAAAAACATTCGGCTCTGGCATTTTTCTCCCCACCAGATGAACCCACTCTACTGAAAACCAGTTCAGATAGGGGCAATATCCCTACCTGGCAAGGGGGATGTGCAGACCTAGAAATGCTAAGTGCACTGCTCATTTTGAGAAACAGATCTTAAATTGATCAATAGAGCCACAAAATTAATACCACTTCTGACAAGACTGTCTCAGAGCAGGCTGAAGCAGGCAGGCAAGAATGCAAAAAATCCCCCGGACAAATATTTTCAAAAGTGATTGTCTGACATGGAGTTAGCATGTGAAAAAGCCATTTGTAGGGAGCTCCAAGCTCACACAGTCCTTACCAGCCGCAGCTGAGTCTCCTCCTTTAACTGTTTCCGTGCCTCAGTCAGTGCATGTCCATCAGCAGTTCTGTCTTTAGTGACCTAAGTTAATGAAGACACCCAATTCACTTGTCATTATATACTACTAACCCTCACATTTGCTATCTGTTTGCTTTTTCCACCACTTCAAAAAGAAATTCTGCCACTATCAAAACTCAGAGCTCCATTCAGTTAACGCAGCACAGAGCTTCCATGTGAAATGACAACTCTATTTCCTCGTTTCCCCAAGTGCTCAGTGCACTTCAGTGGATATGAATTAAATGGACAGACTGCACATTTTCACAACTATCACGATACACTAAGTATGGTTACAAAAGCTCAGAAAAAGATACTGTGGGTTTTAAAAGTAAAACCAGATTCTGCATAGTTACTAGCACTTCCAATAAATCAACAAAAAAAATATTACAGATCCTGCCCCTTGGTTTCCGAAAAGGGTAGCATTTCAGGATAAAAAAGCAGAACTCCTACCTCCTACGTCCAAATTTTTCTGCCACCCCCTCAATAAATCATCCTTCCTCCTGTCCCTTCTAACACCTCCACCCAGCAAGCCAGGAACGTGCTGTGTTAGCTCCTGGCTACGCGCACGCTCACAGTTCCATCAGCTGTGGCCAGGCAGGATTTACTGGGGCCAGGCTCCATCTCCTACCCTCTGCTGAGGAACCCACCTGGCGTCACTCTTCTCTAGTCCAGTTTTTGTGCGAGATACATAAGGAAACAAAGTCTCTTCCAAACACTGACTTCTTGGTTGAATTTGGGCTGGGACTGCCCAAAAGGTTGAGTAATCATTCACGCACGCACACACCCACCAACCTTGCGATTCGACTCTAAGATATAAGAACTCTCTTCTTTAACCCGTTCCATCTCTTCTTGCAGTGTAATAATCCTGTTGTTTGCAACCGCAAGCTGTGAACAAAGCAGAACAAGAGTAACATATCAAAAACATACTCGATGGGGTTTTTTTTCCTTCTCTAGATACATTTTCTGTACTTTTTTTTTTTTTTTTTACACTCAAAGTGGAAAAAAAAACAAAACAGTATTTGGAGTGGCAAAAGACAACCTGGTCTCTACCACGGAGAAAGACTATCTGAAAAAGCACTAGTTAGTGCCATTGTGATGGATTTTCAATACTGGCTAAAACAGAGACTTCCCAACCTATTTTGGTTCCTGTCTTTCACTAAAGTTATTGACTTCTCCAGGTCTCCACCTGCTAGACTCGGTGTGGCATGTGGTTAACACGACTCAACAAAAATCTTCACTCCGCTCCCCTCCACTTGCCAGAGATAACAAAAAGGGAAAATGTGAGCACATGGCAGCTAGGTTTTGTTGACTTCTAGCAAACAAAACATATTGCCAGAGAAGAAACACTTGTTTGGGTTTGCTCAAGCTTCAGTAGTTTGGATACACTGCTAGGTAGAGCATCTGAGAAGTAAGATGCTCAAGTATTTGGGCAGGAGAAGCATGATGAGAGCCTCATCAGAGGAGGAAGGTTTGGCTGGAAACGGAGGATCAGTAGCACACACCGCCCTTATGAGACAGGGCACGTGCCTCAGAGGGATTCCCGGTGAAGACATCACCTCAGAATCCAACACTGAGTCAAAGAAAGACTAGACAAAGGACAGAATAGCTTTAGAAAACTCTTTGTGGCTTTGTAAACCATAGCTTACGTAAGCCTTGCACACAAGAAAATCTCAGTGACATTCCAAGAGATCAGCAACGTTAGTGAGAGACAAACCCAAGTAGAAATTACCCTGACAAAAGCAGAGGGCTTTGGTACAGCTCAAGCCAGACACACTAGCTGATGTGACATGCGACGTGGTTCAGGAACTACACCCTGCAAACGTCCCTGATTGGCACAGCACGTTCTTGTGTCACTTAAGTTCTTACTCTGAACAGCATGCAGACTTCCCTAAGAGATGAGCAAGTAAATTTTACTAGAAATCAAAAAATACTTCACTCAACATTGTACTTAATCTCATGGGTACCATGCCTAATGGGCACAGTGCTCATATGCTGCAGGTAATAAATTAAAAGCCAGTTATTATAGTAGCACTGAGAAAGGCAGCCTCCACTGCATACTATCTTTTTAAAATAAAAAAATATTTTAATTGTAAAAAACAGTTCTTACTCCTTAATTGCAAGAGTGGATACATCAATTTTCATTGCTAAAGCTTCTCATCTTTTGGAATACATCCATTAGACTAAATGTTTAATAACCAGACACACAGACCTCCTTTAACGAGGGTGAACAAGCAAAACAGAATTTCTATTTCATATTTGTCCTGCAAGAGCACTGAGCTACCCCAATCTATATCATTCTGTTAAGTGACATGCGAACAGAGATACTGTAAAACCGTTAGGATGTGACCTACTATCGCCCATTCATCAGGGAACTGACCCCAAAAGATTTCATTACATTTATGCCATTACTAATGAACTGCAAGACCAATTTTACAACACAGGTTATACTTCTGACTCAGATACCAACCATTTTTTATGCTCAGACTGAACAGCATTTTATCTACAATGATAATTTTTCCTTTTTTTTTTTTTTTTCTCCTCCAAATTGTGAGAGGCTAGAGAAAAAGCTATTGAAACATCTCAATTTCTATCTTTACACTATAGTAAACTTTTGCACCTGTCAGAATAAACAGACATTTTAAAATTTCATGTCTGCATATCTCATAACCAACATCAACTTTATGGCATTTGAAACCAGACCCATCGTACAATTTATTTCAAGGCATTTTCCAAAAATCAGAAAGCACTCAAAGACTTCAGATGGATAAAGTATATTCAGCAGCTTTTGTTTTTTAACATAAACATTTGGTTGGTTTTCTACCTCATGCTTAGCAGCAAGAGCCAGTGTAATCCCTTGGCAGGTCAGTTATTCCAATTCCATTGTTAAACACTCATCATCACATCCAGCAGAAATCTGAAAATAACTCCTCCCTCACCTTTTTAATCCCCTAATTCCAAAAGGCCAAAACATCAGATGATTTTCTATTATACTCACCTCCTCGGTCAGTTTAGTGTTGGATTTTTCTAAGGCATCCACCTTGGCCTGTAGGTTGTTTACTGTAGCACTGTTGAAGAGAAAAAAAAACCTCTACAGTAATTCCTTCTTTTTTTAAAAATCTTGTTTTCTATTTTGCTATACTATATAATAAAGAATAAATAAATCACGTCTCACCTTAAATGTCTATTGAGTTCTTCTACATAGTTCTTCTGGTCCAAAATAGCAGTTATCTGACCATCTCTGGAATAAAGAAATGTCGTTCAGCTCAACCATTTGGATTCAAAGGACTAAGAGATGTGGCTATATAGCTGGCACATCCAGCACAGCACCAATACCCTGGGTCTCAGATAGCTCATGTGATGTATATGAAAGAGCAGACCTGAGTTACAGTTTATGCCTTTATAATCACTGTCCCCTGACTTCTCAGAAGCCACAGCTGCTACATTCACCTGGATGACATTCAGGCATTTTGTGACAAACAAATCAGAAGGATTAAGACAGACAACATTTCAGAGACTACAGCAGTATTTCAAAGAAAAAAAAAAAAAAGTTTTGCAGTACATTTATATTGGACAAGAGTCATCTCACCAAAATCTTTTCAAAGAAAACTGTCAATAAATGCATGTTTTTGCATGCAGTTCCAAGCAGGAAATCTTCACTGAGGAACACTCTAAAAATTAAACTATAGGTAAAAAAATGCAATCGAAACACCTGATCTTGAGGGATAATTATTAAATATATACCTGAATTCAAGTTAGCAGGGCTTCCTTAGAAAGAAGTACTCTTGAAGAACTTCAGAAAACCACAACACCCGGTCCGTATGTCAGTGCACCCACATGGTATTTTTCAACCACTTGCTCTGAATGTTGCACAGTTGCATTTGTACGTGCTGGCACAAGTTCTTTAGGCTATTATTGCAGTCATTATCTTTTCCAGTTGGAAATTTTTTTTTTTTTTTAGTAAGGATGTTATGGTGCCAAAAATCCACTACTATCCTGCTAGCCATACAACCGGTGATGGCTACTATAGTGCTTACCGACAAGGCTATAAACAATGGCAGACTTAACTCATCAGGGGGTCACTTTTAAAATATTTTTATCTTCAACTGCCAGTTAAGGAAGAACATACAGCATTTCTGAGAGACTTGCCTTTTCCCCTTCCCCCTCCCAATATTTCCAGTATCTTATTTATATATAATAATATGGTTTATCATAGAAGAACAATTCAGTCTAAGTACTTTTTAATTAAAAATATAACAGCTTGCAGGGCAGCCTAGAATACTTGAATACAAACTACCAAGAGCTAAGAAGCAGGACAATTGTGCATGTACTTACCCTTCACTGCCTTTGGTGCTGTTCCCATCTTTCAAATACATTGAGAAATCAATAACTCCAACCTAGAAAAGAACAATTTGTATTTTACATTAAATGCTTTTTCTAAGACTGAACACTGTCCATAGCTGTGAAAGTTTAGAACATTGGTACATATTGCATTACAGCAAGGATTCATTATAGCAGTAATGTATCCAAAATGAATGAAAACATGGCGCATTTAAAGAAAAAATATACTAGGATAATCAGTTAGTAAGCAGGTCTCAGGACATAAGGACAAAACATTACCATCACCATATCTGTATACACACTGCTTATGCAAGCTGGAACTTAAGTGCATGCAGGCTCATTTTCTTTTCCATTACAGCTACAATGATCTCATTATACAGCGTGAGTGAATTAACAGTTCTGTCCATTTCTCCCCTCATTTTGGCTAAGTCCATCCCTGTTCTCACTATTTCAGTGACCTGCATGCAGACCATCGCAAAGCGTAACCGCTAAGAGAAAACCTAAATCCTGAGTCTCTGATCTCAGCACTGCCAGCTAACCAAAGACCACAAGCATAGCAACAAGCTTGTATTAGTCTTCTATGACATACAGTAACAAACTTGTACCTCAGTGGATCAAAGTCCTCTACAATGGAAAATACTTCCAATTTAAATGAGCAGAAATAAAAACATTAACTGAATACCCCGTACCTGTGAGTCCAGGTCTTCTCCTTTCATGCAGAAGTTGGCATCGATGACATTCAAACCTACCAGGAGGCCAGCAATGATCGCACCTTCTTCTTCCATCATCAGCGCATTAGGCTCGTAAAATTCACTGCAAGATGCACAGTAAGATAAGCGTTGCATCTTTAAAAGTCAACTCAAATTATGTCAACTGGCATGGGACCCCTGCTATTTCATATGACAACATAATGCAAGCTCAGCATTAGCAAACACCCAGGCAGCGGCACACAGCCCTGACAGAAATGTACTCCTACATACTATCAGTGTACTCCTGCTCTGGGTGAACAAATCTCTCTTAGCATGGTCAGTCTTCAAGTGAGGCAAAAAGCTAGTAAACTGGAGACCTGGTCCCTCGCTGCTGACCGGTGATGGAAAGTAAGCACGATTCTTGAGTAACGGTACAGCACACTGAAGATTTAAGACTGGGGATTAATATCAGAGTTTTTTCTTCTACTACGCTATTACACACTGTTATTAACACAAGCCACCGTCACATTTTCCAGTGAACAATACCAAGTTCTCCTTTCTAACCCCAAGTCAGCTGTGGATTTACATGGACAGCCAACAAAAACCTACTTGTCTGAGTAAAGAAACACCAACATATTTATTAAATCCTACTGTTTTACATAGACATAGTAATTCAAATCCATGAACTTTCAACTAAGCTACAAAATTATTGCTGCTTTGAGTGGGAAGCAGAGATATGGAGAAGTGAAATGACTTGTTCCAGGTTAGATGGTAATGAAGTGACAAGGTCAGAAATAAACCAAGGACCAAGATTTTGCAGACAGAAAATGCTGTACAAATATTTCGCTTGAATCATCTCTTCAGAATCAAAATTTGTGTTTATTCTAATGCATATTTGAGACAAAGTGGAGAAATAGCAGCTTCTGAATTAAGAACAAATAATAAGCATTTTTAACCCCTCAGAGGAAGCGCTGTATTTCACAAATATTATCATTTCTCAAAAAAAGTACATGCATACTTTACCACTTGGGTGTAAAAGATCATAAAGGTCTTGCAAGAGGGCAGAAGTGAACCTAAGCTGACCCAAGAGCGAGCTCAGCGCTCACCTGAGAAGATCCTTTCTGTTAATCAAGGCTTTCATGTATTCTGAAAGTTTCTTCTGCATTAGAGCCAGGCGAAGCCAAGCTCTTCCTCTACCCACAGGTGTCCTACAAAGGCCAGAAACAGAACAGTTAGAAACATACTGCCACACATCGTCACAAACAGCTCTAATAATCCCATCCTACCTAAAGTTTCTGCATCTCAAAGACAGAGCTGGCAGTGATGAAAACAGGCAAAATACAAGGTGCCGAAGTGCAAACAGTTACAGACAAGTCTGTCTAAGCAATCATTGCTTCTCTCATAACTAGTTATGTATTTGTTTTCACACTAAATATACTTCCCTGACTTTATCCCTGCTGGATGCTATTACACAGACAGAGATCAGCTGCTTCAACACATCACCTCCTAACTCAAAATGAGTTTTGCATAATGCACATCAGACTACCATGTGTATAGCTCAGTTCAGCACAGATGCCAAAGCACTGTTCCATGAGGTAGGTGTTAAGTTGGGTGAGAATCCCCAAAGACAACTGAAAACACAAATTCAGTACTGTTCTCTTCAACTATTTTGCTCATTAACACACTCGCAGAATGCAACAGGTTATAGTCACAGTCCTTCCCCCCTGTTTCTCCTGGCAATCTGAAGGACGCAGCTTTAAAAATATGGTAACTGATATGCTGCATCACAGCTCTGGCTCATCCACCCTGGCACGCTGGCCAGGAGCCAGTACCAGATGCTCCAAAGGAAGCTGCAAAACCCCCTCGCTGAGCAGTATTCTGATTAGAAGGAAATTTCTTTTCCATCTCCAGCTGTCAGTTAGCTGTCTTACACCAAACAGCACGTGGGGCAATTTATTTTCTAACCTTAACTGGTATAAGCAGCAACTGCCCATGAATGTCCTCTTCATTACTCTCCATTCCTGACCTCACTACTACGTGACATGACATTTCCCAAGGGTTAGTATGAACACAGGGTTTAGAGCCTTATTCTAAAACTGCTCTTTATTTCAGCTTATTGAATGTTTCAATTTTCTTTTACAATAGGAAAAGGTAACAGGAGCTCTGGCACAACACTGTTGGCACTCCACACAGTCCTGTAAGCTGTTCCAGGAGGAGGCTGGCACAGATCTCTGGTACAAGCACTTGTCCATATGTACATCGCTAAATACTAACCCAAAAGAAACTGTTATTGAATCTATTCATCCCTTGTTTCAGCAAAGAATATGTAATCCTCAGTCCTGTTACTCACACAAAAGCTTCCTTACATCTTTTTTTCTATTCCCCAGGCTGAAAGCCTTTTACAGTTTCTTTTTAGCATGGAGTAAGCAAACCTGAATGTGATGTCTGAAATGACTATGACATTTTTAAAAGCAATATATACTTAAAGCGGGTTTTTTCCTCCCTTCTTTAACATAAGCTAGTACCTTCTCCAACCTGGCGACTAAGCTTCCCTTTTACACAATCTTTACAAGTTTACCTGAATTTATTTGGAAGAAAAATTACCTCTATCAGCCTCAAAACTATTTAAGTCTGACTTCAGAAAGAGTCAGGGAACGCTGTCCCCATTCCTGAGACACATCATCACTTGTGCTAGCAATAAATGCACTACTGTCCATAAGACCCCTTGCATTTCACACCAAAAGAGTATATATCCTATCCTATCCTTCTGCAGATTCTTGATTAACAAGAGAGTAATGATCCATTTTTATCAGCAGAAATTGGCAGAGGAATTCCTGCAGGCTGCGTTTGCCCTTCTTTCTCTTCTTCTGAATCCTTCTTACAAGAAAACCGTATTAGGTAACATGCAGTAAAAGACTGTACTTACTTCAGCCCTGGGAGATCTTTAACGCTTGCTGTAATCTCTGCAGCCTCAGGAACAAGCTTTTCTACTAGTTCTAGAGGTCCCCAAAATGACTTATTTTGCCCAAGAAAGGTCTTTTTGGCTAGAAAATAAAAAGATATAAAATGAGCCCGTTAAGCAAGTGCTGACTAAACACATTCTCAAACATGGTCAGAAGTGAATGAACAGTAGAGAAAAACTGCCATAAAGATTCTCCTGGGACTGCTGCCAGCCAAGTACAAAAGGTGACTTTTTATGCCCAAGTGTGGCAACTATGGGTATCATTCAAACAAGGCAACCGGAGCTCGAGGCAGATGCCAGAAGATATTCCATACATCTCCAATATTCTAAGACAACAACATCCAGTGATAACCAGCAACTTAGAGTCACTGCTAGAGGTCAAAATTTCGACCAGGATGCTGTCACTGTCCCCGAGTTACACCTGACGTGTGCACAGTAATTTTCTCTCGCTGACCATCACATTATAAGGAAAAGGACCACACCACTTTGAACCCGCTCCTCCTCCACAGCTGCTAGGGGGTTCTCTGTGCATCCTCTCCTCTTTCAGAAAAGCTTTCCAGTGATCCCGTGGTACTAAAGCTGGAAATTAATTTTCTTCTTCCATAGTTCTTACTGCTACTTCACAGCAGCAGTGAGAAGACCCAGAACTCCGTTAACTTCAAACATGACCAGCAGTGGGGACACTGGAAAATGGATAAAGGAAGAAGCTGAAGAATATGAACGCTTCTCCTTTACACAATGATACCCTACCCAGCACAGGAACCACTTCTTCCACACACGATGCTGAACACAGCTACTAAAGCAGCACGGAAGAATGCACGTATGGGTACTGAGAGGGTGCTTAATAGCCTCTGTTTTTCATCTCAGGCTACTATCACACAAGGGCAGCACATCAAGAAAAGCAATTTGGTACTTGGCAATTGCAGCTGTGACTCTGGGCTATATAGTTAAATATATGCTCTGCTTGCTATTTTAGGAAGCAGCTTAAAAAGACATTAGCTGCACAAAGCCAAAATTCTCAGTTTTGACAGAGCTATTGAGAAAAGATCTCCATGTTGCAGTTCCTCTTCCAGCAAGAGGACCACTGCATCCCTAAAGCATGAGGAAGTGCAGATAAAAAGGGAGTCATGAGTTTGCTGAAGAGCTAATTTTATCACTGATCACTTAATTACACTCGAGTCATCTGAAAAGCTGTTTTTAAAAATGGCAAGCACCTGCAACAACTGTGAACTTTTCACCTGCAGCGTTATACCTTCAGCAGATTTTTTTTTCCCTTCCTGTGGCCTGTCAAGTCAACACTGATCACAGCAATGACGCTGCTCAGCTTCTCTTTGGCCTACTGTAGATTAGACAACTAGATTTTTAAAACAAGATTGCTCTTTCTCCCACCTACACTACAACAAACAGCCTGGGAGGACTCCTCTCCAGCAAGGTTACCTTTCAAGCCATGTTTAAGGCAATGTTCCATCACAACAAAGAACTGCTGAAGAGGTGCATAGTCGGAGTCCAGCGTCCTGCCCAGATTAAGTGCTGATTCAATCAACCCCTTGATACTCAGTTTTGCCATGTTCATCAGGTTCATGCGTTCATTAGCCATGAGATAATTAGGATCTATTAAAGAAAGGAAGAAAAATACTGTTGAGTAACAAAAGCTATTTTTAATACAGTAAGATATCCCATGTCCCTCTCTTTTTGTTCCTCAGCTGTTAACACATTTCAGGGGCAGTGACAGTTTCATGTGAGGCACTCTCTTCAGGCCTTTTGTTGAGAAAAATCAAAATTAACTAGCATTTTATGGCCAAAGCCACAATGACATGGGAATAGGTGATATATCCCATACTTCAACTAACTAGAAAAGCTTTACATTTTTGAGAAAGAGAAGTTTGGAGACAGCTGTTCACATTGTGCTGTACATCTTGACAATGTGTTACTGAATGTTACGACCGTCACTTGTTCCAACGCAAACCCCCAGCTACACAACTGGCAAGAATTCTCCACTTGTGATTTGTTCTTCCATCTAAAGATAACCATGAATCCGCCCACACTTAAACCAGCAATGCGTGTGTCTATCCAGTCTTGCATCTTTCCTTCTCATGATTTTTTCTTTTTTAAAACTTGGATGTAACATGGAGCCAATTCCCACCTATCTCTCTTCATTTTATCAACACTACTGTTTTTTTATGACTGACAATAAGGAGCTGATCTTCATGGCTCCTCTGGCAATTCACTCTAACTTCCAGCACACACAGATCTTCCAAGACTATATTCTTCCTCTACCATATTATAAATATTCAGACCTTTATACTTGCTTGTTGCAGGAAACAAATACAGACATCGATTTTCCAATCTAGACCCTGACTGCAGGGTGCAAGGAGTTTCATCCCTGTAAGGCAGGTTTATTCCAGGGCTGCTGTAAACAGCCATGGACCCTTGAACCAATTTGCCACCTTGGAGAGTGAATTTACTACGCTAGCAGCAGAAACATGACCAGAGGACATCTAAGACTAAATATTTAAGCACAGGGTACACATTTTATCTGCTGTACTGAAAAAGCATGCCTGCATTTCGCAAACAAGTAAAGGAAATAAATATCAGAAACTGAAAACCTTCAATTAGAAGAAAAGGAAATACACTTCTATTTAAAATGCGGGGGAGCACATAGCTAAATTTGATAAAAGAAGCCGTAAGAATATCTAGAAACCTAAGCAGTGGAAGAACAACTGTTCCTGCCAGCTCTGGGGAGCACCACCACCCAGACCCACCCTGTGACGCTCACCACTGTCAGGCTGTTGTCAAGCTCTTTTTGAGTGTTGGGACGCTCTGTCTCTTCACCCTACAGACACCTGAGCCAGGTTCCTACATCCCTCCTTAAAGCATCTCTCATGGTGAAGGAAGAGGGGAGGATGCAACCCACACCCCCAGTGGATCCAGTCCTTAAGTGAAGCCTTGCAGAAGTTTGGGTTTCTGTTCAGCAGGTTTGCCACTGAGGAAGCACTGAATCTCCACTAGGCAAGAGGATCTGAGCTGTTTGGATTGCTAACAGTTCTCATCCTCTCGTCAGTACAACTGTGAAGAACCATTTCTTGCAATTTAAAATGCAACAGTTTAGCCAGAAGGAGCCAAGGGGAATATTCTTTTGAGACCGCTGCAGTGTCCTATAGGACTTGTCCTGATGATGCAAGTCATCACCCTGCTTCATCATGCTGCTGATACAAGCCCAGCTCCTCGACTACAAATTCCTTATCTCAAATGTACTGCCACTGCAATGAGGCATCTTGTCAGCACCCACCAGCCAGAGAGAGAGCAAGGGGCAAAACTTTACAGACCCACAGAACCATGAAAAATCACATCGTTCCTGCTCCCAGCCTTCAATATCTCCTGCAGACTGAGAAGCACTGTGGGCCCAGAAGCCTGTAGCTGACTGGAGTAATACCTGATTTCAGGAACCTAGGGCTGAATCCAAAACACGCAAGAAGAAGAGCAACTGCTACTGTGCGGTTGAGACTACAGACAGAAAAGAGATGCTGAAAGCCACCTCAGGGCTAGGAAACAAAAAGCAACTACTGACATGGAGACAAAAACATCCTCAAAGGACCTGAGAAAATTATGAAAGGGAATCAAAAGAGAGCATTTGTGAAACCTGGGAACAAAGGCGGATTTGCTGAATCTGCCACTGAAGCACTCCACGGGCAAGTCCCCACGGCTCCAAGGCTGGCGGGCACCCAGGCTGGTGAGGTCTCACTGCTGCTCAGTTTTTTGGGGGCTGTCTGCCAGAGGACAGGCTGTTTTTATCGGGGACAGAAACACCCAGACCTAGCACTGTGGCAACCGCGCTAACACCACTCGAGTGCGCATCGTTAAAGCTGAAGGCTGTGGAAAAATCCACCGGATTGGGAGAGTGATGGGTCAAGGCAGCTGCCACCATTCACCTCCTCTAAATTTCACCGGGACCACCCCGGCAGGTACGGCGCTGAGCGGCTCGGGATGGGAAGAGGTCTGCTGGAGAGGGGGAGTGTAGCGCCGGTGCTCAGCAGCACCAGCTGGAGTTGCCATCAAAGCACAGCCACGAGCCTAGCTGTGCTCCAGGCCACGTCTGCTGCCTTCTTGCTCAGAGGAGTGGCAAAGCAGTCCAGTCGCTCCTCTGCATCCACCCAGTCTTCTGCTGCCGAGGGAGGGTGCTCAAAACCCACCCCCGAGAGTTTTGTTTCACTAACCGTACACTCCTCATGCACTGATTGTCTTGTTTCACATCTTATAAAAAGGCTGAGATGAGGCATTCACCATTCATTTTCACAGTTTAGAAAACTCCAAAGCACTCATTTAGGAATGCAATTCTCATAGCAGGGTTGGATTTAATTTAGTGGGTGATTTTTAGTGCCTTTGCAGAACTACTACTATTTTAAGCTGACAGATTTGGCACGTACACTGAGCGGAATACCTGTTTTGTAATTTGCAATCCATTTTATGATTGTCAGTGTAATTAACGGTCACCATTAGTAGGAATGCAGACTCAGGAAAAAAGAGTCAGACATAATATTACACACGATTGCAAAAGCTAATTTTTGTACATGCGATTAAAAAACCCTCATGTATATTTCCTTCTGTGTACTTCTGCATAAAACTAATGAACACTACTTCTGACAGCATCCATCACAGTTGCCCTTTAAGAGTATATGAATATCACTGCAGCATTTGCTCCTCCTGCAGACGGCTATTGTCACAAAACTGTGCTTTGCTTTGGTACAATTCCAAATCCACTCAGAACAAGGTTATCTGGCAAAAAAAAAAAAAAACACCAACTTGCTCTCTCAATAATTCTGGTAGCACAACTCCATCCACAGTATATCTGCACTTCTGAGACGGATAAACCAGCAGAAATCCCTAGAATCACCCAAGAATTTTTATATGTGCCCTCAGAAGAGTATGGTGCTGTGGTAAAAGAAACGAATGGACTTTTGGGGCTTTTTAAATTTAAATACATTTTGAAGTCTGGGTTGAACATGATTATTTGCTTGGTCAGGGTTTGAAGAGAAACTCTGATGCGTATACACACTGTCCATACTGATCGCAGTAGCCAGATGAGACTCTTTGGAAAAGCTGCGGTTTTGCCTCCTGAGCATACCTGAAAGTTTTATGACTTAACCAAAACCTTGTTAACAATCACAGCTTCCTTTTCTTCCTCCCTACGAGGGGCATAGCCAGATGCAGGAAGATACAGAGCCCTCCCCACCCCTCCACCCAAGGCGTTTCCCCGCCGGCCGGGGTCCAGCACGGAGCGGTCCTGCGCCCGCTGCCCGAGCGGCCCCCGGGCCCGCCGGCGTCCGAGGGGCTCTGCCCAGCTGGCAAAGCGACTGCTAACGCCGGGGTAAAGAAACCATGCAAGGAGACTGCACGGAAGCCGTTACTTTGGCTATGGTTATCACCTAATTTGAATTACGGTAGAGTCCAAGGGCACTGCTCAGAACTAGGGTTCTGCCCCACTACACGCTCACAGGAAACCATTCACATTTTGGAAGATTATCGAGACCTGCTGCCCCACATGGACCTATGCTGAGGCCAAGGGTATGCTTTTTGAGGCAAGGATCATGGTTTTCCACCAGTCTGAAAGGTCTGCGGCTCCTGTGTGTCAACTGGGGTCAATACGACCCTAATTAAAAAAACAAAACAAAACAAAACACAAACAAACAAGGAGTGTATGAAATACATTCAAGACAACTAGACTCTTTCAACTCTTTAAAGACCTAATGAACATCTGAGCTGATGAAAGCTTAGGAAAGAAGAAAAAGCAGGGCTGTGCTTTCATTTAAGACTAGAATGTGCAGTCATAGTCTAAAAAATTGAAAAATGTTTTCATCACATGACCTAATTAAAGGATTCTGCTTCATTAGTCTGTTGTGAACAATGGTGCTCCACATATGCAGCCTATCTAAGATTCTCATCTTACAAACTGATTAACTGTTATATAGTACAAAAATGGATAAAATCCCAGAGATTTGGTCAAAAAATTAAATCCTAAGTAATTTATACCATCATTGTATGTGCTGCAACATACACACCTTTAAAATTAACTCTCAAAGAGCAGTGTAAGCAAGCAAAGATGACTCTTACACAGTAAGACTATCCAGCTGGCTTTTAGTCAACCCAGACACTTTCTGCTTTGACAAGTCTGACCCTGATGTGCAACTGAGATTTTCAGTTTGAGTCAGTATCTTCTCCCAACTTCCTCTTCCTGCCTCTAACTGTAAAAACTCTGCCTGTGTTTTACTATACGTGCCATGTCATAAACCTTAAAAAGTAAAATCTTGGCCCTTAAACTTTGTCTTTCAATGTGGCTTGGATTTCAATTGAAGTAATCCTAAATTCTCAAGACATTTTGGTATTTAAATATTGTAGCTTCTACAGAATAGATGTGTTTTCTAATGAGCAACACTGTACATGGGATATAAGTGGCCATGACTGAACTGGACTCGCATCCCACTAGAATGACAGGGTAAAATAACCAGCTCACCTGACTTGTTTCCTTAAAACACTGAATCCCCAGGTTTCTGAAGAGCTAAAACTGTGTTACAATCATTCACATGCTAACAGCGTGAAAAGTAAATGGTTCCTGA